GTGACTTTTGAGTCGACTCAAAAGTCACCTAGATTCTGCTCGGCCTTCCACACGGTGCGCATGTGGTGACTTTTGAGTCGACTCAAAAGTCACCTAGATTCTGCTCGGCCTTCCACACGGTGCGCATGTGGTGACTTTTGAGTCGACTCAAAAGTCACCTAGATTCTGCTCGGCCTTCCACACGGTGCGCATGTGGTGACTTTTGAGTCGACTCAAAAGTCACCTAGATTCTGCTCGGCCTTCCACACGGTGCGCATGTGGTGACTTTTGAGTCGATTCAAAAGTCACCTAGATTCTGCTCGGCCTTCCACACGGTGCGCATGTGGTGACTTTTGAGTCGACTCAAAAGTCACCTAGATTCTGCTCGGCCTTCCACACGGTGCGCATGTGGTGACTTTTGAGTCGACTCAAAAGTCACCTAGATTCTGCTCGGTCTTCCACACGGTGCGCATGTGGTGACTTTTGAGTCGACTCAAAAGTCACCTAGATTCTGCTCGGCCTTCCACACGGTGCGCATGTGGTGACTTTTGAGTCGATTCAAAAGTCACCTAGATTCTGCTCGGCCTTCCACACGGTGCGCATGTGGTGACTTTTGAGTCGACTCAAAAGTCACCTAGATTCTGCTCGGCCTTCCACACGGTGCGCATGTGGTGACTTTTGAGTCGACTCAAAAGTCACCTAGATTCTGCTCGGCCTTCCACACGGTGCGCATGTGGTGACTTTTGAGTCGACTCAAAAGTCACCTAGATTCTGCTCGGCCTTCCACACGGTGCGCATGTGGTGACTTTTGAGTCGACTCAAAAGTCACCTAGATTCTGCTCGGCCTTCCACACGGTGCGCATGTGGTGACTTTTGAGTCGACTCAAAAGTCACCTAGATTCTGCTCGGCCTTCCACACGGTGCGCATGTGGTGACTTTTGAGTCGACTCAAAAGTCACCTAGATTCTGCTCGGCCTTCCACACGGTGCGCATGTGGTGACTTTTGAGTCGATTCAAAAGTCACCTAGATTCTGCTCGGCCTTCCACACGGTGCGCATGTGGTGACTTTTGAGTCGACTCAAAAGTCACCTAGATTCTGCTCGGCCTTCCACACGGTGCGCATGTGGTGACTTTTGAGTCGACTCAAAAGTCACCTAGATTCTGCTCGGTCTTCCACACGGTGCGCATGTGGTGACTTTTGAGTCGACTCAAAAGTCACCTAGATTCTGCTCGGCCTTCCACACGGTGCGCATGTGGTGACTTTTGAGTCGATTCAAAAGTCACCTAGATTCTGCTCGGCCTTCCACACGGTGCGCATGTGGTGACTTTTGAGTCGACTCAAAAGTCACCTAGATTCTGCTCGGCCTTCCACACGGTGCGCATGTGGTGACTTTTGAGTCGACTCAAAAGTCACCTAGATTCTGCTCGGTCTTCCACACGGTGCGCATGTGGTGACTTTTGAGTCGACTCAAAAGTCACCTAGATTCTGCTCGGCCTTCCACACGGTGCGCATGTGGTGACTTTTGAGTCGATTCAAAAGTCACCTAGATTCTGCTCGGCCTTCCACACGGTGCGCATGTGGTGACTTTTGAGTCGACTCAAAAGTCACCTAGATTCTGCTCGGCCTTCCACACGGTGCGCATGTGGTGACTTTTGAGTCGACTCAAAATTCACCTAGATTCTGCTCGGCCTTCCACACGGTGCGCATGTGGTGACTTTTGAGTCGACTCAAAATTCACCTAGATTCTGCTCGGCCGTCCACACGGTGCGCATGTGGTGACTTTTGAGTCGACTCAAACGTCACCTAGATTCTGCTCGGCCTTCCACACGGTGCGCATGTGGTGACTTTTGAGTCGACTCAAAAGTCACCTAGATTCTGCTCGGCCTTCCACACGGTGCGCATGTGGTGACTTTTGAGTCGACTCAAAAGTCACCTAGATTCTGCTCGGCCTTCCACACGGTGCGCATGTGGTGACTTTTGAGTCGACTCAAAAGTCACCTAGATTCTGCTCGGCCTTCCACACGGTGCGCATGTGGTGACTTTTGAGTCGACTCAAAAGTCACCTAGATTCTGCTCGGCCTTCCACACGGTGCGCATGTGGTGACTTTTGAGTCGACTCAAAAGTCACCTAGATTCTGCTCGGCCTTCCACACGGTGCGCATGTGGTGACTTTTGAGTCGACTCAAAAGTCACCTAGATTCTGCTCGGCCTTCCACACGGTGCGCATGTGGTGACTTTTGAGTCGATTCAAAAGTCACCTAGATTCTGCTCGGTCTTCCACACGGTGCGCATGTGGTGACTTTTGAGTCGACTCAAAAGTCACCTAGATTCTGCTCGGCCTTCCACACGGTGCGCATGTGGTGACTTTTGAGTCGACTCAAAAGTCACCTAGATTCTGCTCGGCCTTCCACACGGTGCGCATGTGGTGACTTTTGAGTCGATTCAAAAGTCACCTAGATTCTGCTCGGCCTTCCACACGGTGCGCATGTGGTGACTTTTGAGTCGACTCAAAAGTCACCTAGATTCTGCTCGGCCTTCCACACGGTGCGCATGTGGTGACTTTTGAGTCGACTCAAAAGTCACCTAGATTCTGCTCGGCCTTCCACACGGTGCGCATGTGGTGACTTTTGAGTCGACTCAAAAGTCACCTAGATTCTGCTCGGCCTTCCACACGGTGCGCATGTGGTGACTTTTGAGTCGACTCAAAAGTCACCTAGATTCTGCTCGGCCTTCCACACGGTGCGCATGTGGTGACTTTTGAGTCGATTCAAAAGTCACCTAGATTCTGCTCGGTCTTCCACACGGTGCGCATGTGGTGACTTTTGAGTCGACTCAAAGGTCACCTAGATTCTGCTCGGCCTTCCACACGGTGCGCATGTGGTGACTTTTGAGTCGACTCAAAAGTCACCTAGATTCTGCTCGGCCTTCCACACGGTGCGCATGTGGTGACTTTTGAGTCGATTCAAAAGTCACCTAGATTCTGCTCGGCCTTCCACACGGTGCGCATGTGGTGACTTTTGAGTCGACTCAAAAGTCACCTAGATTCTGCTCGGCCTTCCACACGGTGCGCATGTGGTGACTTTTGAGTCGACTCAAAAGTCACCTAGATTCTGCTCGGCCTTCCACACGGTGCGCATGTGGTGACTTTTGAGTCGACTCAAAAGTCACCTAGATTCTGCTCGGCCTTCCACACGGTGCGCATGTGGTGACTTTTGAGTCGACTCAAAAGTCACCTAGATTCTGCTCGGCCTTCCACACGGTGCGCATGTGGTGACTTTTGAGTCGATTCATAAGTCACCTAGATTCTGCTCGGTCTTCCACACGGTGCGCATGTGGTGACTTTTGAGTCGACTCAAAGGTCACCTAGATTCTGCTCGGCCTTCCACACGGTGCGCATGTGGTGACTTTTGAGTCGACTCAAAAGTCACCTAGATTCTGCTCGGCCTTCCACACGGTGCGCATGTGGTGACTTTTGAGTCGATTCAAAAGTCACCTAGATTCTGCTCGGCCTTCCACACGGTGCGCATGTGGTGACTTTTGAGTCGACTCAAAAGTCACCTAGATTCTGCTCGGCCTTCCACACGGTGCGCATGTGGTGACTTTTGAGTCGACTCAAAATTCACCTAGATTCTGCTCGGCCTTCCACACGGTGCGCATGTCGTGACTTTTGAGTCGACTCAAAATTCACCTAGATTCTGCTCGGCCGTCCACACGGTGCGCATGTGGTGACTTTTGAGTCGACTCAAACGTCACCTAGATTCTGCTCGGCCTTCCACACGGTGCGCATGTGGTGACTTTTGAGTCGACTCAAAAGTCACCTAGATTCTGCTCGGCCTTCCACACGGTGCGCATGTCGTGACTTTTGAGTCGACTCAAAAGTCACCTAGATTCTGCTCGGCCTTCCACACGGTGCGCATGTGGTGACTTTTGAGTCGACTCAAAAGTCACCTAGATTCTGCTCGGCCTTCCACACGGTGCGCATGTGGTGACTTTTGAGTCGACTCAAAAGTCACCTAGATTCTGCTCGGCCTTCCACACGGTGCGCATGTCGTGACTTTTGAGTCGACTCAAAAGTCACCTAGATTCTGCTCGGCCTTCCACACGGTGCGCATGTGGTGACTTTTGAGTCGACTCAAAAGTCACCTAGATTCTGCTCGGCCTTCCACACGGTGCGCATGTGGTGACTTTTGAGTCGACTCAAAAGTCACCTAGATTCTGCTCGGCCTTCCACACGGTGCGCATGTCGTGACTTTTGAGTCGACTCAAAAGTCACCTAGATTCTGCTCGGCCTTCCACACGGTGCGCATGTGGTGACTTTTGAGTCGACTCAAAAGTCACCTAGATTCTGCTCGGCCTTCCACACGGTGCGCATGTGGTGACTTTTGAGTCGATTCAAAAGTCACCTAGATTCTGCTCGGCCTTCCACACGGTGCGCATGTGGTGACTTTTGAGTCGACTCAAAAGTCACCTAGATTCTGCTCGGCCTTCCACACGGTGCGCATGTGGTGACTTTTGAGTCGACTCAAAAGTCACCTAGATTCTGCTCGGCCTTCCACACGGTGCGCATGTGGTGACTTTTGAGTCGATTCAAAAGTCACCTAGATTCTGCTCGGCCTTCCACACGGTGCGCATGTGGTGACTTTTGAGTCGACTCAAAAGTCACCTAGATTCTGCTCGGCCTTCCAAACGGTGCGCATGTGGTGACTTTTGAGTCGACTCAAAAGTCACCTAGATTCTGCTCGGCCTTCCACACGGTGCGCATGTGGTGACTTTTGAGTCGACTCAAAAGTCACCTAGATTCTGCTCGGCCTTCCACACGGTGCGCATGTGGTGACTTTTGAGTCGACTCAAAAGTCACCTAGATTCTGCTCGGCCTTCCACACGGTGCGCATGTGGTGACTTTTGAGTCGACTCAAAAGTCACCTAGATTCTGCTCGGCCTTCCACACGGTGCGCATGTGGTGACTTTTGAGTCGATTCAAAAGTCACCTAGATTCTGCTCGGTCTTCCACACGGTGCGCATGTGGTTTGTGGCGTCGGTGCATGAGTGGCATGCCGTCTTGTCTCTCGCTTCCCCCCCGCCCCCCCCGTTCAACCCCCCAGGCCCGGCAGCGGACCAGTGGTCAGTGGGAGTGCTGCTGTACGAGCTGCTGGTGGGGATCCTGCCTTGTTTGGAGGAGATCGATCGCTGTCCCACTTGCGTCTGTCCGTGCTGCGTGCCCCTTGGTGGCCCCTCTCTGTATTTATCTCTCCGCATTCTTCCGTGTGACTTTTGAGACCGCATTCTTCTCTGCTCGCTCCCTGCTTTCCCGCCTGCGCGCCCTCTCAGGCCCTGCAGTCGACTGATGGTCAGTGGGAGTGCTGCTATACGAGCTGCTGGTGGGGATTCCCCTGTCTGGTGTCGAGCTCTTACCACTCGATTCCATCCCATTCCACTCGCTCTTGGTTTCGCCTCTCTCTGTATTCATCTCTATGCGTTCCCAGGCCCAGCAGCGGACTGGTGGTCAGTGGGAGTGCTGCTGTATGAGCTGCTGGTGGGAATTCCGCCCTTCAACGCCCCCTCTCCTCAGGTACCTCTCTCTCTTTCTCTCCTTTGTTGATATGATACGCTTGCAATTCTCTTGCACAACCCTCCCAACAACCCCCTCCTTCCACCCCCCTCACCCCACCCCTACCTCGTGTGCACATTCACTTATTGCGTTTTGACACATCTCCGTTCTCCTTGTTTTGTGCACCCCCCCACACAACTGCCTTGTTTTGTGCACACTGACTTTCCGTTCCTCCCATATCCAGCTGGTTCCTCCTGTATCCCCCTTAAAAGTGAATCCGTGACAACAAACTGTCCCTCTTCCACCTCCTCCCATTGCCATCCCTGCTTATCCCCTGCTCTTCCCCCATGCTTATCCCCTTTATAAGCAAATCTTTGACAACATATTGAACCGCGACATCACATGGCCGGCTGTGCCAGAAGACATGTCATACGAGGCGAAAGACCTTATAGACAGGTACCCGCCTTGACAGGTATGCGCCTTGACAGGTATGCACCTTGACAGGTATGCACCTTGACAGGTATGCACCTTGACAGGTATGCACCTTGACAGGTATGCACCTTGACAGGTACGCACCTTGACAGGTATGCACCTTGACAGGTATGCACCTTGACAGGTATGCACCTTGACAGGTATGCACCTTGACAGGTATGCACCTTGACAGGTATGCACCTTGACAGGTATGCACCTTGACAGGTATGCACCTTGACAGGTATGCACCTTGACAGGTATGCACCTTGACAGGTAAGTGGATTGGAATGCCTGTGGCAAGCAAGCAAGCAACAGGTGAGCGTCGTGCTTCGCACACTGCAGCCTTTCTCCTATGAGCAAAGAGCAGCTGTGCTAGAAGACATGTTGTACGAGGCAAAGGGCCTCATTGACAGGTACGCGCCTTGTCTGTGGCAATCAACTTCAGATTCTAATGCATACGCTAATCCCAGTGACTGGCTGGAAAAGGGCAAGGGGGATGGGGGAGTGGGGGGGAAAAGGAGAGAAACAAAGGGAAAGGGAGGAAAAGCCCTCACTTGAGTGCACTTATCCCGGTAGCCTTGTTGTTTCCCTGCCTGCTGCTCTCTCCTGTGTTCTCCAGGCTTCTCACTTTCGACCCGGATGAGCGTCTAGGCGCCCAGGGAGCAGACGAGGTCAGCCACCCCTTGCCACCCCTTGCCACCTCTTGCCACCTCTTCACTCCCTTGCTCTCCATGCACTCACTCTGCTGCATCTTCCTCACTCCATTCACTCACTCTGTCACTTACCCTTAGCTCCATTCACCTTTTTTCTTTCTTTCTTACTTTTTTTTTTTTTTTTTTTTTTTTTTTTTTTTTGTGCGTGTGCTCTTTGTTTTGCTGGAAATGTGATGTGTGTGTGCTCCTCCCGCCCCTCTCGCACGTGCTGCAGATCAAGAGGCATCCCTTCTTTCGCGACATTGACTGGGACACCCTCTCCTCTGAGAAGGTTAGACCTTTGCTCTTCTTGCTGCTGCTGGGCTAGAGTTGCCTCTGAGAATTTCCAAAGCAGCATCGACTGGGACACCCTCTCCTCTGAAAAGGTTAGGCTAAAGCCTCGCTTTTCCTGAACTCGCTGCACCCTTTGCTGCTGCTGCTATATTGCCGCAACAACATCTGATCGAATGCCCCATCTTCTGAATCCGCCCTCTCACTGCCTTTCATTCCCGAGCCAGAGAACGCACACGTCACGAGCTACTTTGCATGCCGTTACGGGGCAAACGCACTGGAAGGAGAGGAGGGCGTGGTGGGTGCGGATGGGCTCAGAAGCGGCTGATTTATGTCCCTCTCTTGCCGATGTGCCCTCCCTCCGTCCTGCCAGCCCCCGTTCGTTCCCGAGCCAGAGAACGCACACGACACGAGCTACTTTGCATGCCGCTACGGGACAAATGCACTGGAAGGCGGGGAGGGCGTGGTGGGCGGGGCAGGGGGAGATGCGCGCAGCAGCAACTACAGCAGCAGTGGCGGCAGCACGAGTGATTCAGAGGACCTGGAGATGGAAAGGGTGAGGTGGGGGATGGGGGAGGTGGCTCAGCACAAAGGCATCTGGAGGGAAGGAGGCATCCGACCATCCTTTGAGTCTAGAATGGGGCATCTGGGGGCATCTGGGGGGATGGGTTGGGCATACTCAAGGCACCAACGCATCTGCTAACGCAAACCTCATGACCCAATCCCTTTCCTGTGCGTTGGCCTCCTCCTCCTCTCCCACCCACTTCTTCCCTCTCACACCCCTCCTCCTTTCCCTCCACCGTCTCTCCCTGCTCCCCTCCTTCATCCCCTCAGTCCTCTCTCATCCCTTACACCCCCCCCTGCTCCCCCTTGGCATGTTTCTCCCCCATCAGCACGATGAGGCAGGTGACAATCCAACTTCTCTCTCACCCCTCCCACCCGTTCCAATCCAACTTCTCTCTCACCCCTCCCACCCGTTCCAATCCAACTTCTCTCTCACCCCTCCCACCCGTTCCAATCCAACTTCTCTCTCACCCCTCCCACCCGTTCCAATCCAACTTCTCTCTCACCCCTCCCACCCGTTCCAATCCAACTTCTCTCTCACCCCTCCCACCCGTTCCAATCCAACTTCTCTCTCACCCCTCCCACCCGTTCCAATCCAACTTCTCTCTCACCCCTCCCACCCGTTCCAATCCAACTTCTCTCTCACCCCTCCCACCCGTTCCAATCCAGCTTCTCTCTCACCCCTCCCACCCGTTCCAATCCAACTTCTCTCTCACCCCTCCCACCCGTTCCAATCCAACTTCTCTCTCACCCCTCCCACCCGTTCCAATCCAACTTCTCTCTCACCCCTCCCACCCGTTCCAATCCAACTTCTCTCTCACCCCTCCCACCCATTCCAATCCAACTTCTCTCTCACCCCTCCCACCCGTTCCAATCCAACTTCTCTCTCACCCCTCCCACCCGTTCCAATCCAACTTCTCTCTCACCCCTCCCACCCGTTCCAATCCAACTTCTCTCTCACCCCTCCCACCCGTTCCAATCCAACTTCTCTCTCACCCCTCCCACCCGTTCCAATCCAACTTCTCTCTCACCCCTCCCACCCGTTCCAATCCAACTTCTCTCTCACCCCTCCCACCCGTTCCAATCCAACTTCTCTCTCACCCCTCCCACCCGTTCCAATCCAACTTCTCTCTCACCCCTCCCACCCGTTCCAATCCAACTTCTCTCTCACCCCTCCCACCCGTTCCAATCCAACTTCTCTCTCACCCCTCCCACCCGTTCCAATCCAACTTCTCTCTCACCCCTCCCACCCGTTCCAATCCAACTTCTCTCTCACCCCTCCCACCCGTTCCAATCCAGCTTCTCTCTCACCCCTCCCACCCGTTCCAATCCAACTTCTCTCTCACCCCTCCCACCCGTTCCAATCCAACTTCTCTCTCACCCCTCCCACCCGTTCCAATCCAACTTCTCTCTCACCCCTCCCACCCGTTCCAATCCAACTTCTCTCTCACCCCTCCCACCCGTTCCAATCCAACTTCTCTCTCACCCCTCCCACCCGTTCCAATCCAACTTCTCTCTCACCCCTCCCACCCGTTCCAATCCAACTTCTCTCTCACCCCTCCCACCCGTTCCAATCCAACTTCTCTCTCACCCCTCCCACCCGTTCCAATCCAACTTCTCTCTCACCCCTCCCACCCGTTCCAATCCAACTTCTCTCTCACCCCTCCCACCCGTTCCAATCCAACTTCTCTCTCACCCCTCCCACCCGTTCCAATCCAACTTCTCTCTCACCCCTCCCACCCGTTCCAATCCAACTTCTCTCTCACCCCTCCCACCCGTTCCAATCCAACTTCTCTCTCACCCCTCCCACCCGTTCCAATCCAACTTCTCTCTCACCCCTCCCACCCGTTCCAATCCAACTTCTCTCTCACCCCTCCCACCCGTTCCAATCCAACTTCTCTCTCACCCCTCCCACCCGTTCCAATCCAACTTCTCTCTCACCCCTCCCACCCGTTCCAATCCAGCTTCTCTCTCACCCCTCCCACCCGTTCCAATCCAACTTCTCTCTCACCCCTCCCACCCGTTCCAATCCAACTTCTCTCTCACCCCTCCCACCCGTTCCAATCCAACTTCTCTCTCACCCCTCCCACCCGTTCCAATCCAACTTCTCTCTCACCCCTCCCACCCGTTCCAATCCAACTTCTCTCTCACCCCTCCCACCCGTTCCAATCCAACTTCTCTCTCACCCCTCCCACCCGTTCCAATCCAACTTCTCTCTCACCCCTCCCACCCGTTCCAATCCAACTTCTCTCTCACCCCTCCCACCCGTTCCAATCCAGCTTCTCTCTCACCCCTCCCACCCGTTCCAATCCAACTTCTCTCTCACCCCTCCCACCCGTTCCAATCCAACTTCTCTCTCACCCCTCCCACCCGTTCCAATCCAACTTCTCTCTCACCCCTCCCACCCGTTCCAATCCAACTTCTCTCTCACCCCTCCCACCCGTTCCAATCCAACTTCTCTCTCACCCCTCCCACCCGTTCCAATCCAACTTCTCTCTCACCCCTCCCACCCGTTCCAATCCAACTTCTCTCTCACCCCTCCCACCCGTTCCAATCCAACTTCTCTCTCACCCCTCCCACCCGTTCCAATCCAACTTCTCTCTCACCCCTCCCACCCGTTCCAATCCAACTTCTCTCTCACCCCTCCCACCCGTTCCAATCCAACTTCTCTCTCACCCCTCCCACCCGTTCCAATCCAACTTCTCTCTCACCCCTCCCACCCGTTCCAATCCAACTTCTCTCTCACCCCTCCCACCCGTTCCAATCCAACTTCTCTCTCACCCCTCCCACCCGTTCCAATCCAACTTCTCTCTCACCCCTCCCACCCGTTCCAATCCAACTTCTCTCTCACCCCTCCCACCCGTTCCAATCCAACTTCTCTCTCACCCCTCCCACCCGTTCCAATCCAACTTCTCTCTCACCCCTCCCACCCGTTCCAATCCAACTTCTCTCTCACCCCTCCCACCCGTTCCAATCCAACTTCTCTCTCACCCCTCCCACCCGTTCCAATCCAACTTCTCTCTCACCCCTCCCACCCGTTCCAATCCAACTTCTCTCTCACCCCTCCCACCCGTTCCAATCCAACTTCTCTCTCACCCCTCCCACCCGTTCCAATCCAACTTCTCTCTCACCCCTCCCACCCGTTCCAATCCAACTTCTCTCTCACCCCTCCCACCCGTTCCAATCCAACTTCTCTCTCACCCCTCCCACCCGTTCCAATCCAACTTCTCTCTCACCCCTCCCACCCGTTCCAATCCAACTTCTCTCTCACCCCTCCCACCCGTTCCAATCCAACTTCTCTCTCACCCCTCCCACCCGTTCCAATCCAACTTCTCTCTCACCCCTCCCACCCGTTCCAATCCAACTTCTCTCTCACCCCTCCCACCCGTTCCAATCCAACTTCTCTCTCACCCCTCCCACCCGTTCCAATCCAACTTCTCTCTCACCCCTCCCACCCGTTCCAATCCAACTTCTCTCTCACCCCTCCCACCCGTTCCAATCCAACTTCTCTCTCACCCCTCCCACCCGTTCCAATCCAACTTCTCTCTCACCCCTCCCACCCGTTCCAATCCAACTTCTCTCTCACCCCTCCCACCCGTTCCAATCCAACTTCTCTCTCACCCCTCCCACCCGTTCCAATCCAACTTCTCTCTCACCCCTCCCACCCGTTCCAATCCAACTTCTCTCTCACCCCTCCCACCCGTTCCAATCCAACTTCTCTCTCACCCCTCCCACCCGTTCCAATCCAACTTCTCTCTCACCCCTCCCACCCGTTCCAATCCAACTTCTCTCTCACCCCTCCCACCCGTTCCAATCCAACTTCTCTCTCACCCCTCCCACCCGTTCCAATCCAACTTCTCTCTCACCCCTCCCACCCGTTCCAATCCAACTTCTCTCTCACCCCTCCCACCCGTTCCAATCCAACTTCTCTCTCACCCCTCCCACCCGTTCCAATCCAACTTCTCTCTCACCCCTCCCACCCGTTCCAATCCAACTTCTCTCTCACCCCTCCCACCCGTTCCAATCCAACTTCTCTCTCACCCCTCCCACCCGTTCCAATCCAACTTCTCTCTCACCCCTCCCACCCGTTCCAATCCAACTTCTCTCTCACCCCTCCCACCCGTTCCAATCCAACTTCTCTCTCACCCCTCCCACCCGTTCCAATCCAACTTCTCTCTCACCCCTCCCACCCGTTCCAATCCAACTTCTCTCTCACCCCTCCCACCCGTTCCAATCCAACTTCTCTCTCACCCCTCCCACCCGTTCCAATCCAACTTCTCTCTCACCCCTCCCACCCGTTCCAATCCAACTTCTCTCTCACCCCTCCCACCCGTTCCAATCCAACTTCTCTCTCACCCCTCCCACCCGTTCCAATCCAACTTCTCTCTCACCCCTCCCACCCGTTCCAATCCAACTTCTCTCTCACCCCTCCCACCCGTTCCAATCCAACTTCTCTCTCACCCCTCCCACCCGTTCCAATCCAACTTCTCTCTCACCCCTCCCACCCGTTCCAATCCAACTTCTCTCTCACCCCTCCCACCCGTTCCAATCCAACTTCTCTCTCACCCCTCCCACCCGTTCCAATCCAACTTCTCTCTCACCCCTCCCACCCGTTCCAATCCAACTTCTCTCTCACCCCTCCCACCCGTTCCAATCCAACTTCTCTCTCACCCCTCCCACCCGTTCCAATCCAACTTCTCTCTCACCCCTCCCACCCGTTCCAATCCAACTTCTCTCTCACCCCTCCCACCCGTTCCAATCCAACTTCTCTCTCACCCCTCCCACCCGTTCCAATCCAACTTCTCTCTCACCCCTCCCACCCGTTCCAATCCAACTTCTCTCTCACCCCTCCCACCCGTTCCAATCCAACTTCTCTCTCACCCCTCCCACCCGTTCCAATCCAACTTCTCTCTCACCCCTCCCACCCGTTCCAATCCAACTTCTCTCTCACCCCTCCCACCCGTTCCAATCCAACTTCTCTCTCACCCCTCCCACCCGTTCCAATCCAACTTCTCTCTCACCCCTCCCACCCGTTCCAATCCAACTTCTCTCTCACCCCTCCCACCCGTTCCAATCCAACTTCTCTCTCACCCCTCCCACCCGTTCCAATCCAACTTCTCTCTCACCCCTCCCACCCGTTCCAATCCAACTTCTCTCTCACCCCTCCCACCCGTTCCAATCCAACTTCTCTCTCACCCCTCCCACCCGTTCCAATCCAACTTCTCTCTCACCCCTCCCACCCGTTCCAATCCAACTTCTCTCTCACCCCTCCCACCCGTTCCAATCCAACTTCTCTCTCACCCCTCCCACCCGTTCCAATCCAACTTCTCTCTCACCCCTCCCACCCGTTCCAATCCAACTTCTCTCTCACCCCTCCCACCCGTTCCAATCCAACTTCTCTCTCACCCCTCCCACCCGTTCCAATCCAACTTCTCTCTCACCCCTCCCACCCGTTCCAATCCAACTTCTCTCTCACCCCTCCCACCCGTTCCAATCCAACTTCTCTCTCACCCCTCCCACCCGTTCCAATCCAACTTCTCTCTCACCCCTCCCACCCGTTCCAATCCAACTTCTCTCTCACCCCTCCCACCCGTTCCAATCCAACTTCTCTCTCACCCCTCCCACCCGTTCCAATCCAACTTCTCTCTCACCCCTCCCACCCGTTCCAATCCAACTTCTCTCTCACCCCTCCCACCCGTTCCAATCCAACTTCTCTCTCACCCCTCCCACCCGTTCCAATCCAACTTCTCTCTCACCCCTCCCACCCGTTCCAATCCAACTTCTCTCTCACCCCTCCCACCCGTTCCAATCCAACTTCTCTCTCACCCCTCCCACCCGTTCCAATCCAACTTCTCTCTCACCCCTCCCACCCGTTCCAATCCAACTTCTCTCTCACCCCTCCCACCCGTTCCAATCCAACTTCTCTCTCACCCCTCCCACCCGTTCCAATCCAACTTCTCTCTCACCCCTCCCACCCGTTCCAATCCAACTTCTCTCTCACCCCTCCCACCCGTTCCAATCCAACTTCTCTCTCACCCCTCCCACCCGTTCCAATCCAACTTCTCTCTCACCCCTCCCACCCGTTCCAATCCAACTTCTCTCTCACCCCTCCCACCCGTTCCAATCCAACTTCTCTCTCACCCCTCCCACCCGTTCCAATCCAACTTCTCTCTCACCCCTCCCACCCGTTCCAATCCAACTTCTCTCTCACCCCTCCCACCCGTTCCAATCCAACTTCTCTCTCACCCCTCCCACCCGTTCCAATCCAACTTCTCTCTCACCCCTCCCACCCGTTCCAATCCAACTTCTCTCTCACCCCTCCCACCCGTTCCAATCCAACTTCTCTCTCACCCCTCCCACCCGTTCCAATCCAACTTCTCTCTCACCCCTCCCACCCGTTCCAATCCAACTTCTCTCTCACCCCTCCCACCCGTTCCAATCCAACTTCTCTCTCACCCCTCCCACCCGTTCCAATCCAACTTCTCTCTCACCCCTCCCACCCGTTCCAATCCAACTTCTCTCTCACCCCTCCCACCCGTTCCAATCCAACTTCTCTCTCACCCCTCCCACCCGTTCCAATCCAACTTCTCTCTCACCCCTCCCACCCGTTCCAATCCAACTTCTCTCTCACCCCTCCCACCCGTTCCAATCCAACTTCTCTCTCACCCCTCCCACCCGTTCCAATCCAACTTCTCTCTCACCCCTCCCACCCGTTCCAATCCAACTTCTCTCTCACCCCTCCCACCCGTTCCAATCCAACTTCTCTCTCACCCCTCCCACCCGTTCCAATCCAACTTCTCTCTCACCCCTCCCACCCGTTCCAATCCAACTTCTCTCTCACCCCTCCCACCCGTTCCAATCCAACTTCTCTCTCACCCCTCCCACCCGTTCCAATCCAACTTCTCTCTCACCCCTCCCACCCGTTCCAATCCAACTTCTCTCTCACCCCTCCCACCCGTTCCAATCCAACTTCTCTCTCACCCCTCCCACCCGTTCCAATCCAACTTCTCTCTCACCCCTCCCACCCGTTCCAATCCAACTTCTCTCTCACCCCTCCCACCCGTTCCAATCCAACTTCTCTCTCACCCCTCCCACCCGTTCCAATCCAACTTCTCTCTCACCCCTCCCACCCGTTCCAATCCAACTTCTCTCTCACCCCTCCCACCCGTTCCAATCCAACTTCTCTCTCACCCCTCCCACCCGTTCCAATCCAACTTCTCTCTCACCCCTCCCACCCGTTCCAATCCAACTTCTCTCTCACCCCTCCCACCCGTTCCAATCCAACTTCTCTCTCACCCCTCCCACCCGTTCCAATCCAACTTCTCTCTCACCCCTCCCACCCGTTCCAATCCAACTTCTCTCTCACCCCTCCCACCCGTTCCAATCCAACTTCTCTCTCACCCCTCCCACCCGTTCCAATCCAACTTCTCTCTCACCCCTCCCACCCGTTCCAATCCAACTTCTCTCTCACCCCTCCCACCCGTTCCAATCCAACTTCTCTCTCACCCCTCCCACCCGTTCCAATCCAACTTCTCTCTCACCCCTCCCACCCGTTCCAATCCAACTTCTCTCTCACCCCTCCCACCCGTTCCAATCCAACTTCTCTCTCACCCCTCCCACCCGTTCCAATCCAACTTCTCTCTCACCCCTCCCACCCGTTCCAATCCAACTTCTCTCTCACCCCTCCCACCCGTTCCAATCCAACTTCTCTCTCACCCCTCCCACCCGTTCCAATCCAACTTCTCTCTCACCCCTCCCACCCGTTCCAATCCAACTTCTCTCTCACCCCTCCCACCCGTTCCAATCCAACTTCTCTCTCACCCCTCCCACCCGTTCCAATCCAACTTCTCTCTCACCCCTCCCACCCGTTCCAATCCAACTTCTCTCTCACCCCTCCCACCCGTTCCAATCCAACTTCTCTCTCACCCCTCCCACCCGTTCCAATCCAACTTCTCTCTCACCCCTCCCACCCGTTCCAATCCAACTTCTCTCTCACCCCTCCCACCCGTTCCAATCCAACTTCTCTCTCACCCCTCCCACCCGTTCCAATCCAACTTCTCTCTCACCCCTCCCACCCGTTCCAATCCAACTTCTCTCTCACCCCTCCCACCCGTTCCAATCCAACTTCTCTCTCACCCCTCCCACCCGTTCCAATCCAACTTCTCTCTCACCCCTCCCACCCGTTCCAATCCAACTTCTCTCTCACCCCTCCCACCCGTTCCAATCCAACTTCTCTCTCACCCCTCCCACCCGTTCCAATCCAACTTCTCTCTCACCCCTCCCACCCGTTCCAATCCAACTTCTCTCTCACCCCTCCCACCCGTTCCAATCCAACTTCTCTCTCACCCCTCCCACCCGTTCCAATCCAACTTCTCTCTCACCCCTCCCACCCGTTCCAATCCAACTTCTCTCTCACCCCTCCCACCCGTTCCAATCCAACTTCTCTCTCACCCCTCCCACCCGTTCCAATCCAACTTCTCTCTCACCCCTCCCACCCGTTCCAATCCAACTTCTCTCTCACCCCTCCCACCCGTTCCAATCCAACTTCTCTCTCACCCCTCCCACCCGTTCCAATCCAACTTCTCTCTCACCCCTCCCACCCGTTCCAATCCAACTTCTCTCTCACCCCTCCCACCCGTTCCAATCCAACTTCTCTCTCACCCCTCCCACCCGTTCCAATCCAACTTCTCTCTCACCCCTCCCACCCGTTCCAATCCAACTTCTCTCTCACCCCTCCCACCCGTTCCAATCCAACTTCTCTCTCACCCCTCCCACCCGTTCCAATCCAACTTCTCTCTCACCCCTCCCACCCGTTCCAATCCAACTTCTCTCTCACCCCTCCCACCCGTTCCAATCCAACTTCTCTCTCACCCCTCCCACCCGTTCCAATCCAACTTCTCTCTCACCCCTCCCACCCGTTCCAATCCAACTTCTCTCTCACCCCTCCCACCCGTTCCAATCCAACTTCTCTCTCACCCCTCCCACCCGTTCCAATCCAACTTCTCTCTCACCCCTCCCACCCGTTCCAATCCAACTTCTCTCTCACCCCTCCCACCCGTTCCAATCCAACTTCTCTCTCACCCCTCCCACCCGTTCCAATCCAACTTCTCTCTCACCCCTCCCACCCGTTCCAATCCAACTTCTCTCTCACCCCTCCCACCCGTTCCAATCCAACTTCTCTCTCACCCCTCCCACCCGTTCCAATCCAACTTCTCTCTCACCCCTCCCACCCGTTCCAATCCAACTTCTCTCTCACCCCTCCCACCCGTTCCAATCCAACTTCTCTCTCACCCCTCCCACCCGTTCCAATCCAACTTCTCTCTCACCCCTCCCACCCGTTCCAATCCAACTTCTCTCTCACCCCTCCCACCCGTTCCAATCCAACTTCTCTCTCACCCCTCCCACCCGTTCCAATCCAACTTCTCTCTCACCCCTCCCACCCGTTCCAATCCAACTTCTCTCTCACCCCTCCCACCCGTTCCAATCCAACTTCTCTCTCACCCCTCCCACCCGTTCCAATCCAACTTCTCTCTCACCCCTCCCACCCGTTCCAATCCAACTTCTCTCTCACCCCTCCCACCCGTTCCAATCCAACTTCTCTCTCACCCCTCCCACCCGTTCCAATCCAACTTCTCTCTCACCCCTCCCACCCGTTCCAATCCAACTTCTCTCTCACCCCTCCCACCCGTTCCAATCCAACTTCTCTCTCACCCCTCCCACCCGTTCCAATCCAACTTCTCTCTCACCCCTCCCACCCGTTCCAATCCAACTTCTCTCTCACCCCTCCCACCCGTTCCAATCCAACTTCTCTCTCACCCCTCCCACCCGTTCCAATCCAACTTCTCTCTCACCCCTCCCACCCGTTCCAATCCAACTTCTCTCTCACCCCTCCCACCCGTTCCAATCCAACTTCTCTCTCACCCCTCCCACCCGTTCCAATCCAACTTCTCTCTCACCCCTCCCACCCGTTCCAATCCAACTTCTCTCTCACCCCTCCCACCCGTTCCAATCCAACTTCTCTCTCACCCCTCCCACCCGTTCCAATCCAACTTCTCTCTCACCCCTCCCACCCGTTCCAATCCAACTTCTCTCTCACCCCTCCCACCCGTTCCAATCCAACTTCTCTCTCACCCCTCCCACCCGTTCCAATCCAACTTCTCTCTCACCCCTCCCACCCGTTCCAATCCAACTTCTCTCTCACCCCTCCCACCCGTTCCAATCCAACTTCTCTCTCACCCCTCCCACCCGTTCCAATCCAACTTCTCTCTCACCCCTCCCACCCGTTCCAATCCAACTTCTCTCTCACCCCTCCCACCCGTTCCAATCCAACTTCTCTCTCACCCCTCCCACCCGTTCCAATCCAACTTCTCTCTCACCCCTCCCACCCGTTCCAATCCAACTTCTCTCTCACCCCTCCCACCCGTTCCAATCCAACTTCTCTCTCACCCCTCCCACCCGTTCCAATCCAACTTCTCTCACCCGTCAATCCAACTTCTCTCTCACCCTCCACCCGTTCCAATCCAACTTCTCTCTCACCCCTCCCACCCGTTCCAATCCAACTTCTCTCTCACCCCTCCCACCCGTTCCAATCCAACTTCTCTCTCACCCCTCCCACCCGTTCCAATCCAACTTCTCTCTCACCCCTCCCACCCGTTCCAATCCAACTTCTCTCTCACCCCTCCCACCCGTTCCAATCCAACTTCTCTCTCACCCCTCCCACCCGTTCCAATCCAACTTCTCTCTCACCCCTCCCACCCGTTCCAATCCAACTTCTCTCTCACCCCTCCCACCCGTTCCAATCCAACTTCTCTCTCACCCCTCCCACCCGTTCCAATCCAACTTCTCTCTCACCCCTCCCACCCGTTCCAATCCAACTTCTCTCTCACCCCTCCCACCCGTTCCAATCCAACTTCTCTCTCACCCCTCCCACCCGTTCCAATCCAACTTCTCTCTCACCCCTCCCACCCGTTCCAATCCAACTTCTCTCTCACCCCTCCCACCCGTTCCAATCCAACTTCTCTCTCACCCCTCCCACCCGTTCCAATCCAACTTCTCTCTCACCCCTCCCACCCGTTCCAATCCAACTTCTCTCTCACCCCTCCCACCCGTTCCAATCCAACTTCTCTCTCACCCCTCCCACCCGTTCCAATCCAACTTCTCTCTCACCCCTCCCACCCGTTCCAATCCAACTTCTCTCTCACCCCTCCCACCCGTTCCAATCCAACTTCTCTCTCACCCCTCCCACCCGTTCCAATCCAACTTCTCTCTCACCCCTCCCACCCGTTCCAATCCAACTTCTCTCTCACCCCTCCCACCCGTTCCAATCCAACTTCTCTCTCACCCCTCCCACCCGTTCCAATCCAACTTCTCTCTCACCCCTCCCACCCGTTCCAATCCAACTTCTCTCTCACCCCTCCCACCCGTTCCAATCCAACTTCTCTCTCACCCCTCCCACCCGTTCCAATCCAACTTCTCTCTCACCCCTCCCACCCGTTCCAATCCAACTTCTCTCTCACCCCTCCCACCCGTTCCAATCCAACTTCTCTCTCACCCCTCCCACCCGTTCCAATCCAACTTCTCTCTCACCCCTCCCACCCGTTCCAATCCAACTTCTCTCTCACCCCTCCCACCCGTTCCAATCCAACTTCTCTCTCACCCCTCCCACCCGTTCCAATCCAACTTCTCTCTCACCCCTCCCACCCGTTCCAATCCAACTTCTCTCTCACCCTCCACCCGTCCAATCCAACTTCTCACCCCCCCGTTCCAATCCAACTTCTCTCTCACCCCTCCCACCCGTTCCAATCCAACTTCTCTCTCACCCCTCCCACCCGTTCCAATCCAACTTCTCTCTCACCCCTCCCACCCGTTCCAATCCAACTTCTCTCTCACCCCTCCCACCCGTTCCAATCCAACTTCTCTCTCACCCCTCCCACCCGTTCCAATCCAACTTCTCTCTCACCCCTCCCACCCGTTCCAATCCAACTTCTCTCTCACCCCTCCCACCCGTTCCAATCCAACTTCTCTCTCACCCCTCCCACCCGTTCCAATCCAACTTCTCTCTCACCCCTCCCACCCGTTCCAATCCAACTTCTCTCTCACCCCTCCCACCCGTTCCAATCCAACTTCTCTCTCACCCCTCCCACCCGTTCCAATCCAACTTCTCTCTCACCCCTCCCACCCGTTCCAATCCAACTTCTCTCTCACCCCTCCCACCCGTTCCAATCCAACTTCTCTCTCACCCCTCCCACCCGTTCCAATCCAACTTCTCTCTCACCCCTCCCACCCGTTCCAATCCAACTTCTCTCTCACCCCTCCCACCCGTTCCAATCCAACTTCTCTCTCACCCCTCCCACCCGTTCCAATCCAACTTCTCTCTCACCCCTCCCACCCGTTCCAATCCAACTTCTCTCTCACCCCTCCCACCCGTTCCAATCCAACTTCTCTCTCACCCCTCCCACCCGTTCCAATCCAACTTCTCTCTCACCCCTCCCACCCGTTCCAATCCAACTTCTCTCTCACCCCTCCCACCCGTTCCAATCCAACTTCTCTCTCACCCCTCCCACCCGTTCCAATCCAACTTCTCTCTCACCCCTCCCACCCGTTCCAATCCAACTTCTCTCTCACCCCTCCCACCCGTTCCAATCCAACTTCTCTCTCACCCCTCCCACCCGTTCCAATCCAACTTCTCTCTCACCCCTCCCACCCGTTCCAATCCAACTTCTCTCTCACCCCTCCCACCCGTTCCAATCCAACTTCTCTCTCACCCCTCCCACCCGTTCCAATCCAACTTCTCTCTCACCCCTCCCACCCGTTCCAATCCAACTTCTCTCTCACCCCTCCCACCCGTTCCAATCCAACTTCTCTCTCACCCCTCCCACCCGTTCCAATCCAACTTCTCTCTCACCCCTCCCACCCGTTCCAATCCAACTTCTCTCTCACCCCTCCCACCCGTTCCAATCCAACTTCTCTCTCACCCCTCCCACCCGTTCCAATCCAACTTCTCTCTCACCCCTCCCACCCGTTCCAATCCAACTTCTCTCTCACCCCTCCCACCCGTTCCAATCCAACTTCTCTCTCACCCCTCCCACCCGTTCCAATCCAACTTCTCTCTCACCCCTCCCACCCGTTCCAATCCAACTTCTCTCTCACCCCTCCCACCCGTTCCAATCCAACTTCTCTCTCACCCCTCCCACCCGTTCCAATCCAACTTCTCTCTCACCCCTCCCACCCGTTCCAATCCAACTTCTCTCTCACCCTCCCACCCGTTCCAATCCAGCTTCTCTCTCACCCCTCCCACCCGTTCCAATCCAACTTCTCTCTCACCCCTCCCACCCGTTCCAATCCAACTTCTCTCTCACCCCTCCCACCCGTTCCAATCCAACTTCTCTCTCACCCCTCCCACCCGTTCCAATCCAACTTCTCTCTCACCCCTCCCACCCGTTCCAATCCAACTTCTCTCTCACCCCTCCCACCCGTTCCAATCCAACTTCTCTCTCACCCCTCCCACCCGTTCCAATCCAACTTCTCTCTCACCCCTCCCACCCGTTCCAATCCAACTTCTCTCTCACCCCTCCCACCCGTTCCAATCCAACTTCTCTCTCACCCCTCCCACCCGTTCCAATCCAACTTCTCTCTCACCCCTCCCACCCGTTCCAATCCAACTTCTCTCTCACCCCTCCCACCCGTTCCAATCCAACTTCTCTCTCACCCCTCCCACCCGTTCCAATCCAACTTCTCTCTCACCCCTCCCACCCGTTCCAATCCAACTTCTCTCTCACCCCTCCCACCCGTTCCAATCCAACTTCTCTCTCACCCCTCCACCCGTTCCAATCCAACTTCTCTCTCACCCCTCCCACCCGTTCCAATCCAACTTCTCTCTCACCCCTCCCACCCGTTCCAATCCAACTTCTCTCTCACCCCTCCCACCCGTTCCAATCCAACTTCTCTCTCACCCCTCCCACCCGTTCCAATCCACTTCTCTCTCCCCTCCACCCGTTCCAATCCAACTTCTCTCTCACCCCTCCCACCCGTTCCAATCCAACTTCTCTCTCACCCCTCCCACCCGTTCCAATCCAACTTCTCTCTCACCCCTCCCACCCGTTCCAATCCAACTTCTCTCTCACCCCTCCCACCCGTTCCAATCCAACTTCTCTCTCACCCCTCCCACCCGTTCCAATCCAACTTCTCTCTCACCCCTCCCACCCGTTCCAATCCAACTTCTCTCTCACCCCTCCCACCCGTTCCAATCCAACTTCTCTCTCACCCCTCCCACCCGTTCCAATCCAACTTCTCTCTCACCCCTCCCACCCGTTCCAATCCAACTTCTCTCTCACCCCTCCCACCCGTTCCAATCCAACTTCTCTCTCACCCCTCCCACCCGTTCCAATCCAACTTCTCTCTCACCCCTCCCACCCGTTCCAATCCAACTTCTCTCTCACCCCTCCCACCCGTTCCAATCCAACTTCTCTCTCACCCCTCCCACCCGTTCCAATCCAACTTCTCTCTCACCCCTCCCACCCGTTCCAATCCAACTTCTCTCTCACCCCTCCCACCCGTTCCAATCCAACTTCTCTCTCACCCCTCCCACCCGTTCCAATCCAACTTCTCTCTCACCCCTCCCACCCGTTCCAATCCAACTTCTCTCTCACCCCTCCCACCCGTTCCAATCCAACTTCTCTCTCACCCCTCCCACCCGTTCCAATCCAACTTCTCTCTCACCCCTCCCACCCGTTCCAATCCAACTTCTCTCTCACCCCTCCCACCCGTTCCAATCCAACTTCTCTCTCACCCCTCCCACCCGTTCCAATCCAACTTCTCTCTCACCCCTCCCACCCGTTCCAATCCAACTTCTCTCTCACCCCTCCCACCCGTTCCAATCCAACTTCTCTCTCACCCCTCCCACCCGTTCCAATCCAACTTCTCTCTCACCCCTCCCACCCGTTCCAATCCAACTTCTCTCTCACCCCTCCCACCCGTTCCAATCCAACTTCTCTCTCACCCCTCCCACCCGTTTCCAATCCAACTTCTCTCTCACCCCTCCCACCCGTTCCAATCCAACTTCTCTCTCACCCCTCCCACCCGTTCCAATCCAACTTCTCTCTCACCCCTCCCACCCGTTCCAATCCAACTTCTCTCTCACCCCTCCCACCCGTTCCAATCCAACTTCTCTCTCACCCCTCCCACCCGTTCCAATCCAACTTCTCTCTCACCCCTCCCACCCGTTCCAATCCAACTTCTCTCTCACCCCTCCCACCCGTTCCAATCCAACTTCTCTCTCACCCCTCCCACCCGTTCCAATCCAACTTCTCTCTCACCCCTCCCACCCGTTCCAATCCAACTTCTCTCTCACCCCTCCCACCCGTTCCAATCCAACTTCTCTCTCACCCCTCCCACCCGTTCCAATCCAACTTCTCTCTCACCCCTCCCACCCGTTCCAATCCAACTTCTCTCTCACCCCTCCCACCCGTTCCAATCCAACTTCTCTCTCACCCCTCCCACCCGTTCCAATCCAACTTCTCTCTCACCCCTCCCACCCGTTCCAATCCAACTTCTCTCTCACCCCTCCCACCCGTTCCAATCCAACTTCTCTCTCACCCCTCCCACCCGTTCCAATCCAACTTCTCTCTCACCCCTCCCACCCGTTCCAATCCAACTTCTCTCTCACCCCTCCCACCCGTTCCAATCCAACTTCTCTCTCACCCCTCCCACCCGTTCCAATCCAACTTCTCTCTCACCCCTCCCACCCGTTCCAATCCAACTTCTCTCTCACCCCTCCCACCCGTTCCAATCCAACTTCTCTCTCACCCCTCCCACCCGTTCCAATCCACTTCTCTCTCACCCCTCCCACCCGTTCCAATCCAACTTCTCTCTCACCCCTCCCACCCGTTCCAATCCAACTTCTCTCTCACCCCTCCCACCCGTTCCAATCCAACTTCTCTCTCACCCCTCCCACCCGTTCCAATCCAACTTCTCTCTCACCCCTCCCACCCGTTCCAATCCAACTTCTCTCTCACCCCTCCCACCCGTTCCAATCCAACTTCTCTCTCACCCCTCCCACCCGTTCCAATCCAACTTCTCTCTCACCCCTCCCACCCGTTCCAATCCAACTTCTCTCTCACCCCTCCCACCCGTTCCAATCCAACTTCTCTCTCACCCCTCCCACCCGTTCCAATCCAACTTCTCTCTCTCACCCCTCCCACCCGTTCCAATCCAACTTCTCTCTCACCCCTCCCACCCGTTCCAATCCAACTTCTCTCTCACCCCTCCCACCCGTTCCAATCCAACTTCTCTCTCACCCCTCCCACCCGTTCCAATCCAACTTCTCTCTCACCCCTCCCACCCGTTCCAATCCAACTTCTCTCTCACCCCTCCCACCCGTTCCAATCCAACTTCTCTCTCACCCCTCCCACCCGTTCCAATCCAACTTCTCTCTCACCCCTCCCACCCGTTCCAATCCAACTTCTCTCTCACCCCTCCCACCCGTTCCAATCCAACTTCTCTCTCACCCCTCCCACCCGTTCCAATCCAACTTCTCTCTCACCCCTCCCACCCGTTCCAATCCAACTTCTCTCTCACCCCTCCCACCCGTTCCAATCCAACTTCTCTCTCACCCCTCCCACCCGTTCCAATCCAACTTCTCTCTCACCCCTCCCACCCGTTCCAATCCAACTTCTCTCTCACCCTCCCACCCGTTCCAATCCAACTTCTCTCTCACCCTCCCACCCGTTCCAATCCAACTTCTCTCTCACCCCTCCCACCCGTTCCAATCCAACTTCTCTCTCACCCCTCCCACCCGTTCCAATCCAACTTCTCTCTCACCCCTCCCACCCGTTCCAATCCAACTTCTCTCTCACCCCTCCCACCCGTTCCAATCCAACTTCTCTCTCACCCCTCCCACCCGTTCCAATCCAACTTCTCTCTCACCCCTCCCACCCGTTCCAATCCAACTTCTCTCTCACCCCTCCCACCCGTTCCAATCCAACTTCTCTCTCACCCCCTCCCACCCGTTCCAATCCAACTTCTCTCTCACCCCTCCCACCCGTTCCAATCCAACTTCTCTCTCACCCCTCCCACCCGTTCCAATCCAACTTCTCTCTCACCCCTCCCACCCGTTCCAATCCAACTTCTCTCTCACCCCTCCCACCCGTTCCAATCCAACTTCTCTCTCACCCCTCCCACCCGTTCCAATCCAACTTCTCTCTCACCCCTCCCAACCCGTTCCAATCCAACTTCTCTCTCACCCCTCCCACCCGTTCCAATCCAGCTTCTCTCTCACCCCTCCCACCCGTTCCAATCCAACTTCTCTCTCACCCCTCCCACCCGTTCCAATCCAGCTTCTCTCTCACCCCTCCCACCCCGTTCCAATCCAACTTCTCTCTCACCCCTCCCACCCGTTCCAATCCAACTTCTCTCTCACCCCTCCCACCCGTTCCAATCCAACTTCTCTCTCACCCCTCCCACCCGTTCCAATCCAACTTCTCTCTCACCCCTCCCACCCGTTCCAATCCAACTTCTCTCTCACCCCTCCGCACCCGTTCCAATCCAACTTCTCTCTCACCCCTCCCACCCGTTCCATCCAACTTCTCTCTCACCCCTCCCACCCGTTCCAATCCAACTTCTCTCTCACCCCTCCCACCCGTTCAATCCAACTTCTCTCTCACCCCCCCGTTCCACTCAAAACTTCTCTCTTCTCACCCTCCCACCCGTTCCAATCCAACTTCTCTCTCACCCCTCCCACCCGTTCCAATCCAACTTCTCTCTCACCCCTCCCACCCGTTCCAATCCAACTTCTCTCTCACCCCTCCCACCCGTTCCAATCCAACTTCTCTCTCACCCCTCCCACCCGTTCCAATCCACTTCTCTCTCACCCCTCCCACCCGTTCCAATCCAACTTCTCTCTCACCCCTCCCACCCGTTCCAATCCAACTTCTCTCTCACCCCTCCCACCCGTTCCAATCCAACTTCTCTCTCACCCCTCCCACCCGTTCCAATCCAACTTCTCTCTCACCCCTCCCACCCGTTCCAATCCAACTTCTCTCTCACCCCTCCCACCCGTTCCAATCCAACTTCTCTCTCACCCCTCCCACCCGTTCCAATCCAACTTCTCTCTCACCCCTCCCACCCGTTCCAATCCAACTTCTCTCTCACCCCTCCCACCCGTTCCAATCCAACTTCTCTCTCACCCCTCCCACCCGTTCCAATCCAACTTCTCTCTCACCCTCCCACCCGTTCCAATCCAACTTCTCTCTCACCCCTCCCACCCGTTCCAATCCAACTTCTCTCTCACCCCTCCCACCCGTTCCAATCCAACTTCTCTCTCACCCCTCCCACCCGTTCCAATCCAACTTCTCTCTCACCCCTCCCACCCGTTCCAATCCAACTTCTCTCTCACCCCTCCCACCCGTTCCAATCCAACTTCTCTCTCACCCCTCCCACCCCGTTCCAATCCAACTTCTCTCTCACCCCTCCCACCCGTTCCAATCCAACTTCTCTCTCACCCCTCCCACCCGTTCCAATCCAACTTCTCTCTCACCCCTCCCACCCCGTTCCAATCCAACTTCTCTCTCACCCCCTCCCACCCGTTCCAATCCAACTTCTCTCTCACCCCTCCCACCCGTTCCAATCCAACTTCTCTTCTCACCCCTCCCACCCGTTCCAATCCAACTTCTCTCTCACCCCTCCCACCCGTTCCAATCCAACTTCTCTCTCACCCCTCCCACCCGTTCCAATCCAAGCTTCTCTCTCACCCCTCCCACCCGTATCCAATCCAACTTCTCTCTCACCCCTCCCACCCGTTCCAATCCACTTCTCTCTCACCCCTCCACCCGTTCCAATCCAACTTCTCTCTCACCCCTCCCACCCGTTCCAATCCAACTTCTCTCTCACCCCTCCCACCCGTTCCAATCCAACTTCTCTCTCACCCCTCCCACCCGTTCCAATCCAACTTCTCTCTCACCCCTCCCACCCGTTCCAATCCAACTTCTCTCTCACCCCTCCCACCCGTTCCAATCCAACTTCTCTCTCACCCCTCCCACCCGTTCCAATCCAACTTCTCTCTCACCCCTCCCACCCGTTCCAATCCAACTTCTCTCTCACCCCTCCCACCCGTTCCAATCCAACTTCTCTCTCACCCCTCCCACCCGTTCCAATCCAGCTTCTCTCTCACCCTCCCACCCGTTCCAATCCAACTTCTCTCTCACCCCTCCCACCCGTTCCAATCCAACTTCTCTCTCACCCCTCCCACCCTTCCAATCCAACTTCTCTCTCACCCTCCCACCGTTCCAATCCAACTTCTCTCTCACCCCTCCCACCCGTTCCAATCCACCTTCTCTCTCACCCCTCCCACCCGTTCCAATCCAACTTCTCTCTCACCCCTCCCACCCGTTCCAATTCACTTCTCTCTCACCCCTCCCACCCGTTCCAATCCACTTCTCTCTCACCCCTCCCACCCGTTCCAATCCAACTTCTCTCTCACCCCTCCCACCCGTTCCAATCCAACTTCTCTCTCACCCCTCCCACCCGTTCCAATCCAAGCTTCTCTCTCACCCTCCCACCCGTTCCAATCCAACTTCTCTCTCACCCCTCCCACCCGTTCCAATCCAACTTCTCTCTCACCCCTCCCACCCGTTCCAATCCAACTTCTCTCTCACCCCTCCCACCCGTTCCAATCCAACTTCCTCTCTCACCCCTCCCACCCGTTCCAATCCAACTTCTCTCTCACCCCTCCCACCCGTTCCAATCCAACTTCTCTCTCACCCCTCCCACCCGTTCCAATCCAACTTCTCTCTCACCCCTCCCACCCGTTCCAATCCAACTTCTCTCTCACCCCTCCCACCCGTTCCAATCCACTTCTCTCTCAACCCTCCCACCCGTTCCAATCCAACTTCTCTCTCACCCCTCCCACCCGTTCCAATCCAACTTCTCTCTCACCCTCCCACCCGTTCCAATCCAACTTCTCTCTCACCCCTCCCACCCGTTCCAATCCAACTTCTCTCTCACCCCTCCCACCCGTTCCAATCCAACTTCTCTCTCACCCCTCCCACCCGTTCCAATCCAACTTCTCTCTCACCCCTCCCACCCGTTCCAATCCAACTTCTCTCTCACCCCTCCCACCCGTTCCAATCCAACTTCTCTCTCACCCCTCCCACCCGTTCCAATCCAACTTCTCTCTCACCCCTCCCACCCGTTCCAATCCAACTTCTCTCTCACCCCTCCCACCCGTTCCAATCCAACTTCTCTCTCACCCCTCCCACCCGTTCCAATCCAACTTCTCTCTCACCCCTCCCACCCGTTCCAATCCAACTTCTCTCTCACCCCTCCCACCCGTTCCAATCCAACTTCTCTCTCACCCCTCCCACCCGTTCCAATCCAACTTCTCTCTCACCCCTCCCACCCGTTCCAATCCAACTTCTCTCTCACCCCTCCCACCCGTTCCAATCCAACTTCTCTCTCACCCCTCCCACCCGTTCCAATCCAACTTCTCTCTCACCCCTCCCACCCGTTCCAATCCAACTTCTCTCTCACCCCTCCCACCCGTTCCAATCCAACTTCTCTCTCACCCCTCCCACCCGTTCCAATCCAACTTCTCTCTCACCCCTCCCACCCGTTCCAATCCAACTTCTCTCTCACCCCTCCCACCCGTTCCAATCCAACTTCTCTCTCACCCCTCCCACCCGTTCCAATCCAACTTCTCTCTCACCCCTCCCACCCGTTCCAATCCAACTTCTCTCTCACCCCTCCCACCCGTTCCAATCCAACTTCTCTCTCACCCCTCCCACCCGTTCCAATCCAACTTCTCTCTCACCCCTCCCACCCGTTCCAATCCAACTTCTCTCTCACCCCTCCCACCCGTTCCAATCCAACTTCTCTCTCACCCCTCCCACCCGTTCCAATCCAACTTCTCTCTCACCCCTCCCACCCGTTCCAATCCAACTTCTCTCTCACCCCTCCCACCCGTTCCAATCCAACTTCTCTCTCACCCCTCCCACCCGTTCCAATCCAACTTCTCTCTCACCCCTCCCACCCGTTCCAATCCAACTTCTCTCTCACCCCTCCCACCCGTTCCAATCCAACTTCTCTCTCACCCCTCCCACCCGTTCCAATCCAACTTCTCTCTCACCCCTCCCACCCGTTCCAATCCAACTTCTCTCTCACCCCTCCCACCCGTTCCAATCCAACTTCTCTCTCACCCCTCCCACCCGTTCCAATCCAACTTCTCTCTCACCCCTCCCACCCGTTCCAATCCAACTTCTCTCTCACCCCTCCCACCCGTTCCAATCCAACTTCTCTCTCACCCCTCCCACCCGTTCCAATCCAACTTCTCTCTCACCCCTCCCACCCGTTCCAATCCAACTTCTCTCTCACCCCTCCCACCCGTTCCAATCCAACTTCTCTCTCACCCCTCCCACCCGTTCCAATCCAACTTCTCTCTCACCCCTCCCACCCGTTCCAATCCAACTTCTCTCTCACCCCTCCCACCCGTTCCAATCCAACTTCTCTCTCACCCCTCCCACCCGTTCCAATCCAACTTCTCTCTCACCCCTCCCACCCGTTCCAATCCAACTTCTCTCTCACCCCTCCCACCCGTTCCAATCCAACTTCTCTCTCACCCCTCCCACCCGTTCCAATCCAACTTCTCTCTCACCCCTCCCACCCGTTCCAATCCAACTTCTCTCTCACCCCTCCCACCCGTTCCAATCCAACTTCTCTCTCACCCCTCCCACCCGTTCCAATCCAACTTCTCTCTCACCCCTCCCACCCGTTCCAATCCAACTTCTCTCTCACCCCTCCCACCCGTTCCAATCCAACTTCTCTCTCACCCCTCCCACCCGTTCCAATCCAACTTCTCTCTCACCCCTCCCACCCGTTCCAATCCAACTTCTCTCTCACCCCTCCCACCCGTTCCAATCCAACTTCTCTCTCACCCCTCCCACCCGTTCCAATCCAACTTCTCTCTCACCCCTCCCACCCGTTCCAATCCAACTTCTCTCTCACCCCTCCCACCCGTTCCAATCCAACTTCTCTCTCACCCCTCCCACCCGTTCCAATCCAACTTCTCTCTCACCCCTCCCACCCGTTCCAATCCAACTTCTCTCTCACCCCTCCCACCCGTTCCAATCCAACTTCTCTCTCACCCCTCCCACCCGTTCCAATCCAACTTCTCTCTCACCCCTCCCACCCGTTCCAATCCAACTTCTCTCTCACCCCTCCCACCCGTTCCAATCCAACTTCTCTCTCACCCCTCCCACCCGTTCCAATCCAACTTCTCTCTCACCCCTCCCACCCGTTCCAATCCAACTTCTCTCTCACCCCTCCCACCCGTTCCAATCCAACTTCTCTCTCACCCCTCCCACCCGTTCCAATCCAACTTCTCTCTCACCCCTCCCACCCGTTCCAATCCAACTTCTCTCTCACCCCTCCCACCCGTTCCAATCCAACTTCTCTCTCACCCCTCCCACCCGTTCCAATCCAACTTCTCTCTCACCCCTCCCACCCGTTCCAATCCAACTTCTCTCTCACCCCTCCCACCCGTTCCAATCCAACTTCTCTCTCACCCCTCCCACCCGTTCCAATCCAACTTCTCTCTCACCCCTCCCACCCGTTCCAATCCAACTTCTCTCTCACCCCTCCCACCCGTTCCAATCCAACTTCTCTCTCACCCCTCCCACCCGTTCCAATCCAACTTCTCTCTCACCCCTCCCACCCGTTCCAATCCAACTTCTCTCTCACCCCTCCCACCCGTTCCAATCCAACTTCTCTCTCACCCCTCCCACCCGTTCCAATCCAACTTCTCTCTCACCCCTCCCACCCGTTCCAATCCAACTTCTCTCTCACCCCTCCCACCCGTTCCAATCCAACTTCTCTCTCACCCCTCCCACCCGTTCCAATCCAACTTCTCTCTCACCCCTCCCACCCGTTCCAATCCAACTTCTCTCTCACCCCTCCCACCCGTTCCAATCCAACTTCTCTCTCACCCCTCCCACCCGTTCCAATCCAACTTCTCTCTCACCCCTCCCACCCGTTCCAATCCAACTTCTCTCTCACCCCTCCCACCCGTTCCAATCCAACTTCTCTCTCACCCCTCCCACCCGTTCCAATCCAACTTCTCTCTCACCCCTCCCACCCGTTCCAATCCAACTTCTCTCTCACCCCTCCCACCCGTTCCAATCCAACTTCTCTCTCACCCCTCCCACCCGTTCCAATCCAACTTCTCTCTCACCCCTCCCACCCGTTCCAATCCAACTTCTCTCTCACCCCTCCCACCCGTTCCAATCCAACTTCTCTCTCACCCCTCCCACCCGTTCCAATCCAACTTCTCTCTCACCCCTCCCACCCGTTCCAATCCAACTTCTCTCTCACCCCTCCCACCCGTTCCAATCCAACTTCTCTCTCACCCCTCCCACCCGTTCCAATCCAACTTCTCTCTCACCCCTCCCACCCGTTCCAATCCAACTTCTCTCTCACCCCTCCCACCCGTTCCAATCCAACTTCTCTCTCACCCCTCCCACCCGTTCCAATCCAACTTCTCTCTCACCCCTCCCACCCGTTCCAATCCAACTTCTCTCTCACCCCTCCCACCCGTTCCAATCCAACTTCTCTCTCACCCCTCCCACCCGTTCCAATCCAACTTCTCTCTCACCCCTCCCACCCGTTCCAATCCAACTTCTCTCTCACCCCTCCCACCCGTTCCAATCCAACTTCTCTCTCACCCCTCCCACCCGTTCCAATCCAACTTCTCTCTCACCCCTCCCACCCGTTCCAATCCAACTTCTCTCTCACCCCTCCCACCCGTTCCAATCCAACTTCTCTCTCACCCCTCCCACCCGTTCCAATCCAACTTCTCTCTCACCCCTCCCACCCGTTCCAATCCAACTTCTCTCTCACCCCTCCCACCCGTTCCAATCCAACTTCTCTCTCACCCCTCCCACCCGTTCCAATCCAACTTCTCTCTCACCCCTCCCACCCGTTCCAATCCAACTTCTCTCTCACCCCTCCCACCCGTTCCAATCCAACTTCTCTCTCACCCCTCCCACCCGTTCCAATCCAACTTCTCTCTCACCCCTCCCACCCGTTCCAATCCAACTTCTCTCTCACCCCTCCCACCCGTTCCAATCCAACTTCTCTCTCACCCCTCCCACCCGTTCCAATCCAACTTCTCTCTCACCCCTCCCACCCGTTCCAATCCAACTTCTCTCTCACCCCTCCCACCCGTTCCAATCCAACTTCTCTCTCACCCCTCCCACCCGTTCCAATCCAACTTCTCTCTCACCCCTCCCACCCGTTCCAATCCAACTTCTCTCTCACCCCTCCCACCCGTTCCAATCCAACTTCTCTCTCACCCCTCCCACCCGTTCCAATCCAACTTCTCTCTCACCCCTCCCACCCGTTCCAATCCAACTTCTCTCTCACCCCTCCCACCCGTTCCAATCCAACTTCTCTCTCACCCCTCCCACCCGTTCCAATCCAACTTCTCTCTCACCCCTCCCACCCGTTCCAATCCAACTTCTCTCTCACCCCTCCCACCCGTTCCAATCCAACTTCTCTCTCACCCCTCCCACCCGTTCCAATCCAACTTCTCTCTCACCCCTCCCACCCGTTCCAATCCAACTTCTCTCTCACCCCTCCCACCCGTTCCAATCCAACTTCTCTCTCACCCCTCCCACCCGTTCCAATCCAACTTCTCTCTCACCCCTCCCACCCGTTCCAATCCAACTTCTCTCTCACCCCTCCCACCCGTTCCAATCCAACTTCTCTCTCACCCCTCCCACCCGTTCCAATCCAACTTCTCTCTCACCCCTCCCACCCGTTCCAATCCAACTTCTCTCTCACCCCTCCCACCCGTTCCAATCCAACTTCTCTCTCACCCCTCCCACCCGTTCCAATCCAACTTCTCTCTCACCCCTCCCACCCGTTCCAATCCAACTTCTCTCTCACCCCTCCCACCCGTTCCAATCCAACTTCTCTCTCACCCCTCCCACCCGTTCCAATCCAACTTCTCTCTCACCCCTCCCACCCGTTCCAATCCAACTTCTCTCTCACCCCTCCCACCCGTTCCAATCCAACTTCTCTCTCACCCCTCCCACCCGTTCCAATCCAACTTCTCTCTCACCCCTCCCACCCGTTCCAATCCAACTTCTCTCTCACCCCTCCCACCCGTTCCAATCCAACTTCTCTCTCACCCCTCCCACCCGTTCCAATCCAACTTCTCTCTCACCCCTCCCACCCGTTCCAATCCAACTTCTCTCTCACCCCTCCCACCCGTTCCAATCCAACTTCTCTCTCACCCCTCCCACCCGTTCCAATCCAACTTCTCTCTCACCCCTCCCACCCGTTCCAATCCAACTTCTCTCTCACCCCTCCCACCCGTTCCAATCCAACTTCTCTCTCACCCCTCCCACCCGTTCCAATCCAACTTCTCTCTCACCCCTCCCACCCGTTCCAATCCAACTTCTCTCTCACCCCTCCCACCCGTTCCAATCCAACTTCTCTCTCACCCCTCCCACCCGTTCCAATCCAACTTCTCTCTCACCCCTCCCACCCGTTCCAATCCAACTTCTCTCTCACCCCTCCCACCCGTTCCAATCCAACTTCTCTCTCACCCCTCCCACCCGTTCCAATCCAACTTCTCTCTCACCCCTCCCACCCGTTCCAATCCAACTTCTCTCTCACCCCTCCCACCCGTTCCAATCCAACTTCTCTCTCACCCCTCCCACCCGTTCCAATCCAACTTCTCTCTCACCCCTCCCACCCGTTCCAATCCAACTTCTCTCTCACCCCTCCCACCCGTTCCAATCCAACTTCTCTCTCACCCCTCCCACCCGTTCCAATCCAACTTCTCTCTCACCCCTCCCACCCGTTCCAATCCAACTTCTCTCTCACCCCTCCCACCCGTTCCAATCCAACTTCTCTCTCACCCCTCCCACCCGTTCCAATCCAACTTCTCTCTCACCCCTCCCACCCGTTCCAATCCAACTTCTCTCTCACCCCTCCCACCCGTTCCAATCCAACTTCTCTCTCACCCCTCCCACCCGTTCCAATCCAACTTCTCTCTCACCCCTCCCACCCGTTCCAATCCAACTTCTCTCTCACCCCTCCCACCCGTTCCAATCCAACTTCTCTCTCACCCCTCCCACCCGTTCCAATCCAACTTCTCTCTCACCCCTCCCACCCGTTCCAATCCAACTTCTCTCTCACCCCTCCCACCCGTTCCAATCCAACTTCTCTCTCACCCCTCCCACCCGTTCCAATCCAACTTCTCTCTCACCCCTCCCACCCGTTCCAATCCAACTTCTCTCTCACCCCTCCCACCCGTTCCAATCCAACTTCTCTCTCACCCCTCCCACCCGTTCCAATCCAACTTCTCTCTCACCCCTCCCACCCGTTCCAATCCAACTTCTCTCTCACCCCTCCCACCCGTTCCAATCCAACTTCTCTCTCACCCCTCCCACCCGTTCCAATCCAACTTCTCTCTCACCCCTCCCACCCGTTCCAATCCAACTTCTCTCTCACCCCTCCCACCCGTTCCAATCCAACTTCTCTCTCACCCCTCCCACCCGTTCCAATCCAACTTCTCTCTCACCCCTCCCACCCGTTCCAATCCAACTTCTCTCTCACCCCTCCCACCCGTTCCAATCCAACTTCTCTCTCACCCCTCCCACCCGTTCCAATCCAACTTCTCTCTCACCCCTCCCACCCGTTCCAATCCAACTTCTCTCTCACCCCTCCCACCCGTTCCAATCCAACTTCTCTCTCACCCCTCCCACCCGTTCCAATCCAACTTCTCTCTCACCCCTCCCACCCGTTCCAATCCAACTTCTCTCTCACCCCTCCCACCCGTTCCAATCCAACTTCTCTCTCACCCCTCCCACCCGTTCCAATCCAACTTCTCTCTCACCCCTCCCACCCGTTCCAATCCAACTTCTCTCTCACCCCTCCCACCCGTTCCAATCCAACTTCTCTCTCACCCCTCCCACCCGTTCCAATCCAACTTCTCTCTCACCCCTCCCACCCGTTCCAATCCAACTTCTCTCTCACCCCTCCCACCCGTTCCAATCCAACTTCTCTCTCACCCCTCCCACCCGTTCCAATCCAACTTCTCTCTCACCCCTCCCACCCGTTCCAATCCAACTTCTCTCTCACCCCTCCCACCCGTTCCAATCCAACTTCTCTCTCACCCCTCCCACCCGTTCCAATCCAACTTCTCTCTCACCCCTCCCACCCGTTCCAATCCAACTTCTCTCTCACCCCTCCCACCCGTTCCAATCCAACTTCTCTCTCACCCCTCCCACCCGTTCCAATCCAACTTCTCTCTCACCCCTCCCACCCGTTCCAATCCAACTTCTCTCTCACCCCTCCCACCCGTTCCAATCCAACTTCTCTCTCACCCCTCCCACCCGTTCCAATCCAACTTCTCTCTCACCCCTCCCACCCGTTCCAATCCAACTTCTCTCTCACCCCTCCCACCCGTTCCAATCCAACTTCTCTCTCACCCCTCCCACCCGTTCCAATCCAACTTCTCTCTCACCCCTCCCACCCGTTCCAATCCAACTTCTCTCTCACCCCTCCCACCCGTTCCAATCCAACTTCTCTCTCACCCCTCCCACCCGTTCCAATCCAACTTCTCTCTCACCCCTCCCACCCGTTCCAATCCAACTTCTCTCTCACCCCTCCCACCCGTTCCAATCCAACTTCTCTCTCACCCCTCCCACCCGTTCCAATCCAACTTCTCTCTCACCCCTCCCACCCGTTCCAATCCAACTTCTCTCTCACCCCTCCCACCCGTTCCAATCCAACTTCTCTCTCACCCCTCCCACCCGTTCCAATCCAACTTCTCTCTCACCCCTCCCACCCGTTCCAATCCAACTTCTCTCTCACCCCTCCCACCCGTTCCAATCCAACTTCTCTCTCACCCCTCCCACCCGTTCCAATCCAACTTCTCTCTCACCCCTCCCACCCGTTCCAATCCAACTTCTCTCTCACCCCTCCCACCCGTTCCAATCCAACTTCTCTCTCACCCCTCCCACCCGTTCCAATCCAACTTCTCTCTCACCCCTCCCACCCGTTCCAATCCAACTTCTCTCTCACCCCTCCCACCCGTTCCAATCCAACTTCTCTCTCACCCCTCCCACCCGTTCCAATCCAACTTCTCTCTCACCCCTCCCACCCGTTCCAATCCAACTTCTCTCTCACCCCTCCCACCCGTTCCAATCCAACTTCTCTCTCACCCCTCCCACCCGTTCCAATCCAACTTCTCTCTCACCCCTCCCACCCGTTCCAATCCAACTTCTCTCTCACCCCTCCCACCCGTTCCAATCCAACTTCTCTCTCACCCCTCCCACCCGTTCCAATCCAACTTCTCTCTCACCCCTCCCACCCGTTCCAATCCAACTTCTCTCTCACCCCTCCCACCCGTTCCAATCCAACTTCTCTCTCACCCCTCCCACCCGTTCCAATCCAACTTCTCTCTCACCCCTCCCACCCGTTCCAATCCAACTTCTCTCTCACCCCTCCCACCCGTTCCAATCCAACTTCTCTCTCACCCCTCCCACCCGTTCCAATCCAACTTCTCTCTCACCCCTCCCACCCGTTCCAATCCAACTTCTCTCTCACCCCTCCCACCCGTTCCAATCCAACTTCTCTCTCACCCCTCCCACCCGTTCCAATCCAACTTCTCTCTCACCCCTCCCACCCGTTCCAATCCAACTTCTCTCTCACCCCTCCCACCCGTTCCAATCCAACTTCTCTCTCACCCCTCCCACCCGTTCCAATCCAACTTCTCTCTCACCCCTCCCACCCGTTCCAATCCAACTTCTCTCTCACCCCTCCCACCCGTTCCAATCCAACTTCTCTCTCACCCCTCCCACCCGTTCCAATCCAACTTCTCTCTCACCCCTCCCACCCGTTCCAATCCAACTTCTCTCTCACCCCTCCCACCCGTTCCAATCCAACTTCTCTCTCACCCCTCCCACCCGTTCCAATCCAACTTCTCTCTCACCCCTCCCACCCGTTCCAATCCAACTTCTCTCTCACCCCTCCCACCCGTTCCAATCCAACTTCTCTCTCACCCCTCCCACCCGTTCCAATCCAACTTCTCTCTCACCCCTCCCACCCGTTCCAATCCAACTTCTCTCTCACCCCTCCCACCCGTTCCAATCCAACTTCTCTCTCACCCCTCCCACCCGTTCCAATCCAACTTCTCTCTCACCCCTCCCACCCGTTCCAATCCAACTTCTCTCTCACCCCTCCCACCCGTTCCAATCCAACTTCTCTCTCACCCCTCCCACCCGTTCCAATCCAACTTCTCTCTCACCCCTCCCACCCGTTCCAATCCAACTTCTCTCTCACCCCTCCCACCCGTTCCAATCCAACTTCTCTCTCACCCCTCCCACCCGTTCCAATCCAACTTCTCTCTCACCCCTCCCACCCGTTCCAATCCAACTTCTCTCTCACCCCTCCCACCCGTTCCAATCCAACTTCTCTCTCACCCCTCCCACCCGTTCCAATCCAACTTCTCTCTCACCCCTCCCACCCGTTCCAATCCAACTTCTCTCTCACCCCTCCCACCCGTTCCAATCCAACTTCTCTCTCACCCCTCCCACCCGTTCCAATCCAACTTCTCTCTCACCCCTCCCACCCGTTCCAATCCAACTTCTCTCTCACCCCTCCCACCCGTTCCAATCCAACTTCTCTCTCACCCCTCCCACCCGTTCCAATCCAACTTCTCTCTCACCCCTCCCACCCGTTCCAATCCAACTTCTCTCTCACCCCTCCCACCCGTTCCAATCCAACTTCTCTCTCACCCCTCCCACCCGTTCCAATCCAACTTCTCTCTCACCCCTCCCACCCGTTCCAATCCAACTTCTCTCTCACCCCTCCCACCCGTTCCAATCCAACTTCTCTCTCACCCCTCCCACCCGTTCCAATCCAACTTCTCTCTCACCCCTCCCACCCGTTCCAATCCAACTTCTCTCTCACCCCTCCCACCCGTTCCAATCCAACTTCTCTCTCACCCCTCCCACCCGTTCCAATCCAACTTCTCTCTCACCCCTCCCACCCGTTCCAATCCAACTTCTCTCTCACCCCTCCCACCCGTTCCAATCCAACTTCTCTCTCACCCCTCCCACCCGTTCCAATCCAACTTCTCTCTCACCCCTCCCACCCGTTCCAATCCAACTTCTCTCTCACCCCTCCCACCCGTTCCAATCCAACTTCTCTCTCACCCCTCCCACCCGTTCCAATCCAACTTCTCTCTCACCCCTCCCACCCGTTCCAATCCAACTTCTCTCTCACCCCTCCCACCCGTTCCAATCCAACTTCTCTCTCACCCCTCCCACCCGTTCCAATCCAACTTCTCTCTCACCCCTCCCACCCGTTCCAATCCAACTTCTCTCTCACCCCTCCCACCCGTTCCAATCCAACTTCTCTCTCACCCCTCCCACCCGTTCCAATCCAACTTCTCTCTCACCCCTCCCACCCGTTCCAATCCAACTTCTCTCTCACCCCTCCCACCCGTTCCAATCCAACTTCTCTCTCACCCCTCCCACCCGTTCCAATCCAACTTCTCTCTCACCCCTCCCACCCGTTCCAATCCAACTTCTCTCTCACCCCTCCCACCCGTTCCAATCTCTTCCACTCTCTCACCTTCCCCCAACTTCCTCTCTCTCTACCCCTCCCACCCGTTCCAATCCAACTTCTCTCTCACCCCTCCCACCCGTTCCAATCCAACTTCTCTCTCACCCCTCCCACCCGTTCCAATCCAACTTCTCTCTCACCCCTCCCACCCGTTCCAATCCAACTTCTCTCTCACCCCTCCCACCCGTTCCAATCCAACTTCTCTCTCACCCCTCCCACCCGTTCCAATCCAACTTCTCTCTCACCCCTCCCACCCGTTCCAATCCAACTTCTCTCTCACCCCTCCCACCCGTTCCAATCCAACTTCTCTCTCACCCCTCCCACCCGTTCCAATCCAACTTCTCTCTCACCCCTCCCACCCGTTCCAATCCAACTTCTCTCTCACCCCTCCCACCCGTTCCAATCCAACTTCTCTCTCACCCCTCCCACCCGTTCCAATCCAACTTCTCTCTCACCCCTCCCACCCGTTCCAATCCAACTTCTCTCTCACCCCTCCCACCCGTTCCAATCCAACTTCTCTCTCACCCCTCCCACCCGTTCCAATCCAACTTCTCTCTCACCCCTCCCACCCGTTCCAATCCAACTTCTCTCTCACCCCTCCCACCCGTTCCAATCCAACTTCTCTCTCACCCCTCCCACCCGTTCCAATCCAACTTCTCTCTCACCCCTCCCACCCGTTCCAATCCAACTTCTCTCTCACCCCTCCCACCCGTTCCAATCCAACTTCTCTCTCACCCCTCCCACCCGTTCCAATCCAACTTCTCTCTCACCCCTCCCACCCGTTCCAATCCAACTTCTCTCTCACCCCTCCCACCCGTTCCAATCCAACTTCTCTCTCACCCCTCCCACCCGTTCCAATCCAACTTCTCTCTCACCCCTCCCACCCGTTCCAATCCAACTTCTCTCTCACCCCTCCCACCCGTTCCAATCCAACTTCTCTCTCACCCCTCCCACCCGTTCCAATCCAACTTCTCTCTCACCCCTCCCACCCGTTCCAATCCAACTTCTCTCTCACCCCTCCCACCCGTTCCAATCCAACTTCTCTCTCACCCCTCCCACCCGTTCCAATCCAACTTCTCTCTCACCCCTCCCACCCGTTCCAATCCAACTTCTCTCTCACCCCTCCCACCCGTTCCAATCCAACTTCTCTCTCACCCCTCCCACCCGTTCCAATCCAACTTCTCTCTCACCCCTCCCACCCGTTCCAATCCAACTTCTCTCTCACCCCTCCCACCCGTTCCAATCCAACTTCTCTCTCACCCCTCCCACCCGTTCCAATCCAACTTCTCTCTCACCCCTCCCACCCGTTCCAATCCAACTTCTCTCTCACCCCTCCCACCCGTTCCAATCCAACTTCTCTCTCACCCCTCCCACCCGTTCCAATCCAACTTCTCTCTCACCCCTCCCACCCGTTCCAATCCAACTTCTCTCTCACCCCTCCCACCCGTTCCAATCCAACTTCTCTCTCACCCCTCCCACCCGTTCCAATCCAACTTCTCTCTCACCCCTCCCACCCGTTCCAATCCAACTTCTCTCTCACCCCTCCCACCCGTTCCAATCCAACTTCTCTCTCACCCCTCCCACCCGTTCCAATCCAACTTCTCTCTCACCCCTCCCACCCGTTCCAATCCAACTTCTCTCTCACCCCTCCCACCCGTTCCAATCCAACTTCTCTCTCACCCCTCCACCCTGTCTCCAATCCACAACTTCTCTCTCACCCCTCCCACCCGTTCCAATCCAACTTCTCTCTCACCCCTCCCACCCGTTCCAATCCAACTTCTCTCTCACCCCTCCCACCCGTTCCAATCCAACTTCTCTCTCACCCCTCCACCCGTTCCAATCCAACTTCTCTCTCACCCCTCCCACCCGTCTCAATCAACTTCTCTCTCACCCCTCCCACCGTTCCAATCCAACTTCTCTCTCACCCCTCCCACCCGTTCCAATCCAACTTCTCTCTCACCCCTCCCACCCGTTCCAATCCAACTTCTCTCCTAACCCCTCCCACCCGTTCCAATCCAACTTCTCTCTCACCCCCTCCCACCCGTTCCAATCCAACTTCTCTCTCCCCCCTCCCACCCGTTCCAATCCCACTTCTCTCTCACCCCTCCCACCCGTTCCAATCCAACTTCTCTCTCCACCCCTCCCACCCGTTCCAATCCAACTTCTCTCTCACCCCTCCCACCCGTTCCAATCCAACTTTCTCTCACCCTCCCACCCGTTCCAATCCAACTTCTCTCTCACCCCTCCCACCCGTTCCAATCCAACTTCTCTCTCACCCCTCCCACCCGTTCCAATCCAACTTCTCTCTCACCCCTCCCACCCGTTCCCCACCCGTTCCAATCCAACTTCTCTCTCACCCCTCCCACCCGTTCCAATCCAACTTCTCTCTCACCCCTCCCACCCGTTCCAATCCAACTTCTCTCTCACCCCTCCCACCCCGTTTCCAATCCAACTTCTCTCTCACCCCCTCCACCCGTTCCAATCCAACTTCTCTCTCACCCCTCCCACCCGTTCCAATCCAACTTCTCTCTCACCCCTCCCACCCGTTCCAATCCAACTTCTCTCTCACCCCTCCCACCCGTTCCAATCCAACTTCTCTCTCACCCCTCCCACCCGTTCCAATCCAACTTCTCTCTCACCCTCCCACCCGTTCCAATCCAACTTCTCTCTCACCCCTCCACCCGTTCCAATCAACTTCTCTCTCACCCCTCCCACCCGTTCCAATCCAACTTCTCTCTCACCCCTCCCACCCGTTCCAATCCAACTTCTCTCTCACCCCTCCCACCCGTTCCAATCCAACTTCTCTCTCACCCCTCCCACCCGTTTCCAATCCAACTTCTCTCTCACCCCTCCCACCCGTTCCAATCCAAACTTCTCTCTCACCCCTCCCACCCGTTCCAATCCAACTTCTCTCTCACCCCTCCCACCCGTTCCAATCCAACTTCTCTCTCACCCCTCCCACCCGTTTCCAATCCAACTTCTCTCTCACCCCTCCCACCCGTTCCAATCCAACTTCTCTCTCACCCCTCCCACCCGTTCCAATCCAACTTCTCTCTCACCCCTCCCACCCGTTCCAATCCAACTTCTCTCTCCACCCCTCCCACCCGTTCCAATCCAACTTCTCTCTCACCCCTCCCACCCGTTCCAATCCAACTTCTCTCTCACCCCCCCCACCCGTTCCAATCCAACTTCTCTCTCACCCCTCCCACCCGTTCCAATCCAACTTCTCTCTCACCCCTCCCACCGTTCCAATCCAACTTCTCTCTCACCCCTCCCACCCGTTCCAATCCAACTTCTCTCTCACCCCTCCCACCCGTTCCAATCCAACTTCTCTCTCACCCCTCCCACCCGTTCCAATCCAACTTCTCTCTCACCCCTCCCCCCCGTTCCAATCCAACTTCTCTCTCACCCCTCCCACCCGTTCAATCCAACTTCTCTCTCACCCCTCCCACCCGTTCCAATCCAACTTCTCTCTCACCCCTCCCACCCGTTCCAATCTCTCAACCCTTCCACCCGTTCCATCTTCTCACCCCTCCCACCCGTTCCAATCCAACTTCTCTCTCACCCCTCCCACCCGTTCCAATCCAACTTCTCTCTCACCCCTCCCACCCGTTCCAATCCAACTTCTCTCTCACCCCTCCCACCCGTTCCAATCCAACTTCTCTCTCACCCCTCCCACCCGTTCCAATCCAACTTCTCTCTCCCCCCTCCCACCCGTTCCAATCCAACTTCTCTCTCACCCCTCCCACCCGTTCCAATCCAACTTCTCTCTCACCCCTCCCACCCGTTCCAATCCAACTTCTCTCTCACCCCTCCCACCCGTTCCAATCCAACTTCTCTCTCACCCCTCCCACCCGTTCCAATCCAACTTCTCTCTCACCCCTCCCACCCGTTCCAATCCAACTTCTCTCTCACCCCTCCCACCCGTTCCAATCCAACTTCTCTCTCACCCCTCCCCACCCGTTCCAATCCAACTTCTCTCTCACCCCTCCCCCCGTCCATCCACTTCCTCTCACCCCTCCCCCGTCCAATCCAACTTCTCTCTCACCCCTCCCACCCGTTCCAATCCAACTTCTCTCTCACCCCTCCCACCCGTTCCAATCCAACTTCTCTCTCACCCCTCCCACCCGTTCCAATCCAACTTCTCTCTCACCCCTCCCACCCGTTCCAATCCAACTTCTCTCTCACCCCTCCCACCCGTTCCAATCCAACTTCTCTCTCACCCCTCCCACCCGTTCCAATCCAACTTCTCTCTCACCCCTCCCACCCGTTCCAATCCAACTTCTCTCTCACCCCTCCCACCCGTTTCCAATCCAACTTCTCTCTCACCCCTCCCACCCGTTCCAATCCAACTTCTCTCTCACCCCTCCCACCCGTTCCAATCCAACTTCTCTCTCACCCCTCCCACCCGTTCCAATCAACTTCTCTCTCACCCCTCCCACCCGTTCCAATCCAACTTCTCTCTCACCCCTCCCACCCGTTCCAATCCAACTTCTCTCTCACCCCTCCCACCCGTTCCAATCCAACTTCTCTCTCACCCCTCCCACCCGTTCCAATCCAACTTCTCTCTCACCCTCCCACGTTCCATCCAACTTCTCTCTCCCGACCCCTCCCACCCGTTTCCAATCCAACTTCTCTCTCACCCCTCCCACCCGTTCCAATATCCAACTTCTCTCTCACCCCTCCCCACCCGTTCCAATCCAACTTCTCTCTCACCCCTCCCACCCGTTCCAATCCAAACTTCTCTCTCACCCTCCCACCCGTTCCAATCCAACTTCTCTCTCACCCCTCCCACCCGTTCCAATCCAACTTCTCTCTCACCCCTCCCACCCGTTCCAATCCAACTTCTCTATCACCCCTCCCACCCGTTCCAATCCAACTTCTCTCTCACCCCTCCCACCCGTTCCAATCCAACTTCTCTCTCACCCCTCCCACACCGTTCCAATCCAACTTCTCTCTCACCCCCTCCCACCCGTTCCAATCCAACTTCATCTCATCGACCCCTCCCACCGTTCCAATCCAGCTTCTCTCTCACCCCTCCCACCCGTTCCAATCCAACTTCTCTCTCACCCTCCCACCCGTTCCAATCCAACTTCTCTCTCACCCCTCCCACCCGTTCCAATCCAACTTCTCTCTCACCCCTCCCACCCGTTCCAATCCAACTTCTCTCTCACCCCTCCCACCCGTTCCAATCCAACTTCTCTCTCACCCCTCCCACCCGTTCCAATCCAACTTCTCTCTCACCCCTCCCACCCGTTCCAATCCAACTTTCTCTCTCACCCCTCCCACCCGTTCCAATCCAACTTCTCTCTCACCCCTCCCACCCGTTCCAATCCAACTTCTCTCTCACCCCTCCCACCCGTTCCAATCCAACTTCTCTCTCACCCCTCCCACCCGTTCCAATCCAACTTCTCTCTCACCCCTCCCACCCGTTCCAATCCAACTTCTCTCTCACCCCTCCCACCCGTTCCAATCCAACTTCTCTCTCACCCCTCCCACCCGTTTCCAATCCAACTTCTCTCTCACCCCTCCCACCCGTTCCAATCCAACTTCTCTCTCACCCCTCCCACCCGTTCCAATCCAACTTCTCTCTCACCCCTCCCACCCGTTCCAATCCAACTTCTCTCTCACCCCTCCCACCCGTTCCAATCCAACTTCTCTCTCACCCCTCCCACCCGTTCCAATCCAACTTCTCTCTCACCCCTCCCACCCGTTCCAATCCAACTTCTCTCTCACCCCTCCCACCCGTTCCAATCCAACTTCTCTCTCACCCCTCCCACCCGTTCCAATCCAACTTCTCTCTCACCCCTCCCACCCGTTCCAATCCAACTTCTCTCTCACCCCTCCCACCCGTTCCAATCCAACTTCTCTCTCACCCCTCCCACCCGTTCCAATCCAACTTCTCTCTCACCCCTCCCACCCGTTCCAATCCAACTTCTCTCTCACCCCTCCCACCCGTTCCAATCCAACTTCTCTCTCACCCCTCCCACCCGTTCCAATCCAACTTCTCTCTCACCCCTCCCACCCGTTCCAATCCAACTTCTCTCTCACCCCTCCCACCCGTTCCAATCCAACTTCTCTCTCACCCCTCCCACCCGTTCCAATCCAACTTCTCTCTCACCCCTCCCACCCGTTCCAATCCAACTTCTCTCTCACCCCTCCCACCGTTCCAATCCAACTTCTCTCTCACCCCTCCCACCCGTTCCAATCCAACTTCTCTCTCACCCCTCCCACCCGTTCCAATCCAACTTCTCTCTCACCCCTCCCACCCGTTTCCAATCCAACTTCTCTCTCACCCCTCCCACCCGTTCCAATCCAACTTCTCTCTCACCCCTCCCACCCGTTCCATATCACTTCTCTCTCAACCTCCCACCCGTTCCAATCCACTTCTCTCTCACCCCTCCCACCCGTTCCAATCCAACTTCTCTCCTCACCCCTCCCACCCCGTTCCAATCCAACTTCTCTTCTCACCCCTCCCACCCGTTCCAATCCAACTTCTCTCTCACCCCTCCACCCGTTCCAATCCAGCTTCCTCTCTCACCCCCTCCCACCCGTTCCAATCCAACTTCTCTCTCACCCCTCCCACCCGTTCCAATCCCAACTTCTCTCTCACCCCTCCCACCCGTTCCAATCCCAACTTCTCTCTCACCCCTCCCACCCGTTCCAATCCAACTTCTCTCTCACCCCTCCCACCCGTTCCAATCCAACTTCTCTCTCACCCCTCCCACCCGTTCCAATCCAACTTCTCTCTCACCCCTCCCACCCGTTCCAATCCAACTTCTCTCTCACCCCTCCCACCCGTTCCAATCCAACTTCTCTCTCACCCCTCCCACCCGTTCCAATCCAACTTCTCTCTCACCCCTCCCACCCGTTCCAATCCAACTTCTCTCTCACCCCTCCCACCCGTTCCAATCCAACTTCTCTCTCACCCCTCCCACCCGTTCCAATCCAACTTCTCTCTCACCCCTCCCACCCGTTCCAATCCAACTTCTCTCTCACCCCTCCCACCCGTTCCAATCCAACTTCTCTCTCACCCCTCCCACCCGTTCCAATCCAACTTCTCTCTCACCCCCCTCCACCCGTTCCAATCCAACTTCTCTCTCACCCCTCCACCCGTTCCAATCCAACTTCTCTCTCACCCCTCCCACCCGTTCCAATCCAACTTCTCTCTCACCCCTCCCCACCGTTCCAATCCAACTTCTCTCTCACCCCTCCCACCCGTTCCAATCCAACTTCTCTCTCACCCCTCCCACCCTTTCCAATCCAACTTCTCTCTCACCCCTCCCACCCGTTCCAATCCAACTTCTCTCTCACCCCTCCCACCCGTTCCAACCAACTTCTCTCTCACCCCTCCCACCCGCTTTCCAATCCAACTTCTCTCTCACCCCTCCCACCCGTTCCAATCCAACTTCTCTCTCACCCCTCCCACCCGTTCCAATCCAACTTCTCTCTCACCCCTCCCACCCGCTTCCAATCCACTTCTTCTCTCACCCTCCCACCCGTTCCAATCCAACTTCTCTCTCACCCCTCCCACCCGTTCCAATCCAACTTCTCTCTCACCCCTCCCACACCCGTTCCAATCCAACTTCTCTCTCACCCCTCCCACCCGTTCCAATCCAACTTCTGCTCTTCACCCATCCCCACCCGTTTCCATCCAACTTCCTCTCCCCTCCCACCCGTTCCAATCCAACTTCTCTCTCACCCCTCCCACCCGTTCCAATCCAACTTCTCTCTCACCCCTCCCACCCTTCCAATCCAACTCTCTCTCACCCCTCCCACCCGTTCCAATCCAACTTCTCTCTCACCCCTCCCACCCGTTCCAATCCAACTTCTCTCTCACACCCCTCCCACCCGTTCCAATCCAACTTCTCTCTCACCCCTCCCACCCGTTCCAATCCAACTTCTCTCTCACCCTCCCACCCGTTCCAATCCAACTTCTCTCTCACCCCTCCCACCCGTTCCAATCCAACTTCTCTCTCACCCCTCCCACCCGTTCCAATCCAACTTCTCTCTCCCTCCCACCCCGTTCCAATCCAACTTCTCTCTCACCCCTCCCACCCGTTCCAATCCAACTTCTCTCTCACCCCTCCACCCGTTCCAATCCAACTTCTCTCTCACCCCTCCCACCCGTTCCAATCCAACTTCTCTCTCACCCTCCCACCCGTTCCAATCCAACTTCTCTCTCACCCCTCCCACCCGTTCCAATCCAACTTCTCTCTCACCCCTCCCACCCGTTCCAATCCAACTTCTCTCTCACCCTCCCACCCGTTCAATCCAACTTCTCTCTCACCCCTCCCACCGTTCCAATCCAACTTCTCTCTCACCCCTCCCACCCGTTCCAATCCAACTTCTCTCTCACCCCTCCCACCCGTTCCAATCCAACTTCTCTCTCACCCCTCCCACCCGTTCCAATCCAACTTCTCTCTCACCCCTCCCACCCGTTCCAATCCAACTTCTCTCTCACCCCTCCCACCCGTTCCAATCCAACTTCTCTCTCACCCTCCCCCCGTTCCAATCCAACTTCTCTCTCACCCCTCCCACCCGTTCCAATCCAACTTCTCTCTCACCCCTCCCACCCGTTCCAATCCAACTTCTCTCTCACCCCTCCCACCCCGTTCCAATCCAACTTCTCTCTCACCCCTCCCACCCGTTCCAATCCAACTTCTCTCTCACCCCTCCCACCCGTTCCAATCCAACTTCTCTCTCACCCCTCCCACCCGTTCCAATCCAACTTCTCTCTCACCCCTCCCACCCGTTCCAATCCAACTTCTCTCTCACCCCTCCCACCCGTTCCAATCCAACTTCTCTCTCACCCCTCCCACCCGTTCCAATCCAACTTCTCTCTCACCCCTCCCACCCGTTCCAATCCAACTTCTCTCTCACCTCCCACCCGTTCCAATCCACTTCTCTCTCACCCCTCCCACCCGTTCCAATCCAACTTCTCTCTCACCCCTCCCACCCGTTCCAATCCAACTTCTCTCTCACCCCTCCCACCCGTTCCAATCCAACTTCTCTCTCACCCCTCCCACCCGTTCAATCCAACTTCTCTCTCACCCCTCCCACCCGTTCCAATCCAACTTCTCTCTCACCCCTCCCACCCGTTCCAATCCACTTCTCTCTCACCCCTCCCACCCGTTCCAATCCACTTCTCTCTCACCCCTCCCACCCGTTCCCCCTCCCCCAATCCAACTTCTCTCTCACCCCTCCCCCCGTTCCAATCCAACTTCTCTCTCACCCCTCCCACCCGTTCCAATCCAACTTCTCTCTCACCCCTCCCACCGTTCCAATCCAACTTCTCTCTCACCCCTCCCACCCGTTCCAATCCAACTTCTCTCTCACCCTCCCACCCGTTCCAATCCAACTTCTCTCTCACCCCTCCCACCCGTTCCAATCCAACTTCTCTCTCACCCCTCCCACCCGTTCCAATCCACTTCTCTCTCACCCCTCCCACCCGTTCCAATCCAACTTCTCTCTCACCCCTCCCACCCGTTCCAATCCAACTTCTCTCTCACCCCTCCCACCCGTTCCAATCCAACTTCTCTCTCACCCCTCCCACCCGTTCCAATCCAACTTCTCTCTCACCCCTCCCACCCGTTCCAATCCAACTTCTCTCTCACCCCTCCACCCGTTCCAATCCAACTTCTCTCTCACCCCTCCCACCCGTTCCAATCCAACTTCTCTCTCACCCCTCCCACCGTTCCAATCCAACTTCTCTCTCACCCCTCCCACCCGTTCCAATCCAACTTCTCTCTCACCCTCCCACCCGTTCCAATCCAACTTCTCTCTCACCCCTCCCACCCGTTCCAATCCAACTTCTCTCTCACCCCTCCCACCCGTTCAATCCAACTTCTCTCTCACCCCTCCCACCCGTTCCAATCCAACTTCTCTCTCACCCCTCCCACCCGTTCCAATCCAACTTCTCTCTCACCCCTCCCACCCGTTCCAATCCAACTTCTCTCTCACCCCTCCCACCCGTTCCAATCCAACTTCTCTCTCACCCCTCCCACCCGTTCCAATCCAACTTCTCTCTCACCCCTCCCACCCGTTCCAATCCAACTTCTCTCTCACCCCTCCCACCCGTTCCAATCCAACTTCTCTCTCACCCCTCCCACCCGTTCCAATCCAACTTCTCTCTCACCCTCCCACCCGTTCCAATCCAACTTCTCTCTCACCCCTCCCACCCGTTCCAATCCAACTTCTCTCTCACCCCTCCCACCCGTTCCAATCCAACTTCTCTCTCCACCTCCCACCCGTTCCAATCCAACTTCTCTCTCACCCCTCCCACCCGTTCCAATCCAACTTCTCTCTCACCCCTCCCACCCGTTCCAATCCAACTTCTCTCTCACCCCTCCCACGTTCCATCCAACTTCTCTCTCACCCCTCCCACCCGTTCCAATCCAACTTCTCTCTCACCCCTCCACCCGTTCCAATCCAACTCTCTCTCACCCCTCCCACCCGTTCCAATCCAACTTCTCTCTCACCCCTCCCACCCGTTCCAATCCAACTTCTCTCTCACCCCTCCCACCCGTTCCAATCCAACTTCTCTCTCACCCCTCCCACCCCGTTCCAATCCAACTTCTCTCTCACCCCCTCCACCCGTTCCAATCCAACTTCTCTCTCACCCCTCCCACCCGTTCCAATCCAACTTCTCTCTCACCCCTCCCACCCGTTCCAATCCACTTCTCTCTCACCCCTCCCACCCGTTCCAATCCAACTTCTCTCTCCCCCCACCCCTCCACCCGTTCCAATCCAACTTCTCTCTCACCCCTCCCACCCGTTCCAATCCAACTTCTCTCTCACCCCTCCCACCCGTTCCAATCCAACTTCTCTCTCACCCTCCCACCCGTTCCAATCCAACTTCTCTCTCACCCCTCCCACCCGTTCCAATCCAACTTCTCTCTCACCCTCCCACCCGTTCCAATCCAACTTCTCTCTCACCCCTCCCACCCGTTCCAATCCAACTTCTCTCTCACCCCTCCCACCCGTTCCAATCCAACTTCTCTCTCCACCCCTCCCACCCGTTCCAATCCAACTTCTCTCTCACCCCTCCCACCCGTTCCAATCCAACTTCTCTCTCACCCCTCCCACCCGTTCCAATCCAACTTCTCTCTCACCCCTCCCACCCGTTCCAATCCAACTTCTCTCTCACCCCTCCCACCCGTTCCAATCCAACTTCTCTCTCACCCTCCCACCCGTTCCAATCCAACTTCTCTCTCACCCCTCCCACCCGTTCCAATCCAACTTCTCTCTCACCCCTCCCACCCGTTCCATCCAACTTCTCTCTCACCCTCCCACCCGTTCCAATCCAACTTCTCTCTCACCCCTCCCACCCGTTCCAATCCAACTTCTCTCTC